ATCAGGGTCGATTACGGTAGCATAAAAGGTCTTACCGAAGCTATGGACAACCCAGACAGTCTCGTGGCATCCATATACAGCTACGAACACTGCGACAAGGTCTTCCGGAATATACAGCGCTTAGAGAGGGGCTCAGCCATCTTCACTCAACCTTCCGGTTTAGTGAAATGTGCGGGTGCGCCACAGAAGATCATGTGGCTCGCTTTGGATCACTGGAGACGAGCGGGTCTGTACAATAACGACTCGAAGAAGTCTGCGATCGAGACCATCTTCGCTACTGGACTTCCAACTATGTTCGGCGTACCGAAGTACAGCGCTAAGCTCAATGAACTGCGGGAAGAAAGACGCGTCACAGGACTCTTTGAACATAATCTTATTGCTATCGATGGAAATATAGCGACGTTCGATCGACCAGAGGGCCAGCAACCGGTGAAGCAGCATTTCGACTTTCTTCATGTTGCGCCTAGGAATGTACCGCACTCGTTCATCGAAGAAAGTGGACTCGGTAACGAAGCAGGCTTCGTGGACGTTGACCAGCACTCGCTTCAGCACAAGACATTCAAGAATATATGGTCACTCGGTGATGCGGCGAGTCTGCCGACATCGAAGACTGTAGCTGCAATCACATCTCAGGCGCCCATCCTTACGCAGAACCTCTTGCTCGGTCTGGAAGGCAAAGAACCGCAGTCTGAGTATGACGGCTATACATCATGTCCGCTCTTGACAGGCGACAAGAAGGTGCTTCTTGCGGAGTTCAAGTACGGCGGGGTGCCGAAGGAAACGTTCAAGAGTTGGTTTGGGATTGACCAAGGGGCTCCTCGACGTGCATTCTACCACTTGAAGAAAGACTTCTTCCCTTGGGTCTACGATAGATATCACGTGAAGGGACAATGGGGTGGACCGAAGGGCTGGATCAATTAGCTTGCGTAAATTTGCCTTGGATTAACCTGCTTGTTGAGCCTTCTGATGATGAGCCATCCCCAAGAAAGCACCGAGACACATGCTTTAGGCGTTGATATGCTTTTTTTGACATCGAAAGTGGTGGCGCTAACTCTTGTTTCGGTGGTTCGCGGTGTAAGCACGTCGCAAAAGTCCGACAGTTCGTTGGAAACCCGACATATACTAGTGCAGGAATGTCTGAACCTGACTATGACAGATCTCGAAATGCATACTGCATATCCCATAATAAAGCGCGTAATGTTTGATTGGCCTCGTTGTTCAAAATCTCAGTGTGCATCATGTTTGCCAGGTTCACAGGCGACTGTGGTAAGAGGCGTAAAGGTCACCGACATTACGATAGCTATGTCAACGCCAGCGTAAACAAATCCATCGAAAAAGAGCTCATAGCCAAGCTTTCGGAGAATTATGGAAGGAACAGGTGCGTCTCAGTTCTTCTCATGCTTGTCAAGTTAAGCCTTATTGACGCTGGTGCGGATGCGAAGACGAACTTCGCAGTAGCTGTCTTGATGTCACTTCGCGTCAAAACACTGGCCGCCTATCTTTTTTCTAGTGATTGTGAAACGGAACGATAGTGTCAGTATATGATTCCTGGCATTGGATGTACACGTCGCGAAAGTCGCATCGTTGGGGCGGACATGTCCACTAAATCCTGAAATAGCGTAGCGCACATCATGACGTAGCTGCATGCCTCACAGTGGGCATCAGAAGTACAATAGGGCGCGCGACATTGATATATCTATATCTCGAGGGATCTCCTCCGCGTTATTGCAAAGGACATGTTCTATCCCACTCCTGAAATTATGAAACGATCCCATTACTTAAAGTCATGACTACGAATTCCCTCGGATCTTTTGCCGGACTTTCATCGGTCATGCTTTTGTTATTTGGAAGGCCTCTTAACACGGCATGTCCGAGTCTTGGAAAACAGGAACGAGCGGCACATGGTGTTCAGCGCTTGCGTTCCCTTGCTTCTGTTCGGCAGGGTTTCGAGATGGATTTCGCTTGGCCGTTCGGAATCACAGCAGCGCGACGAACTCGTCAAACCCTGAGCCACGGCTTTGGACCGGATGGACGCACCCGCGATGAGCTTGTCTGCGTATTTACATTCCTCTATCTTGTACCCACACCGATATGTGCAGTGAGAATCCACCCAAGCTGAACAAGACTCTATATCAGGACGTGGAGGTGCCGTTTCATCCGATCTTATCTTGGCAGCCAAGGCGCGCCTCCGCCCCCATGGGACATCTCCACCTACCAAGTCCCTGAACAGATGCCCGGATGTTGGTATTAGGAGCTGCAGACGGGTATCATTCCGGGAATGTTGCCCTGGCACGCGACATGCCTATCAAGAAGGCGTCGAGTCGTTGCTATCGGTGGCTGCGCAGTGACGCGCGCCGCGAATATGATCTAAGATCAAGAGTACAGGGGGATGCGACGACATCATTAGAAGGCTGTGTGCTACCCAGGTTGTGGTGCTCCTACTGCTCCCAATTGTAGCTTTGTCTCCCTGTCCCCTCTATGCGGAATTCTACATCGATCTACCTCACTACCTCATCTCATCGAGTATTTCAACATAGTTGCCCACGATGAACGCCGTCCGCAAAGTTGTTCGGGCAATGTTCCCTCCACCTCGTGTCGCTCCTGATGGTCGCGCAGAGTGGCCTTCCCGAACGCCATACGTACTGGCATCCATGGGCGGAGCCATGGGATTCGGAAATCTGCTGCGTTTTCCCTCGCAGGTCTTCAACAACAACGGCATACAATGGTTCATTCCATACTTGATGGCCGTCTGCCTTCTTGCAATTCCAGTGCTTATCTTGGAGGTGGCCATCGGACAGGCCTACCGTAGTGGCTGTGTCATAGCTTACAACGGCCTTGATCGGCGCTTCACTGGTGTTGGTCTCGGGATGGTCTGTGTTGGCTACGCTGTGGCTATCTATTACATCCCGATCCTTTCCTGGGTCATGGTGTACTTTCGCAGTTCATTCCGGTCGGCAGACGACTTTCCTTGGAGAGAGAATCCACAGGATTACTTCGCGCACGTCGTAAACCAGGTTCCTGCCATCCCCGCAGTCTACAGCGACGACGGTAGCAAGGTCCTCCAATATGCTTCTTATCCCGGTGTTAACCTCGATGGGGAGCTCGTCGGTTGGGTTCTGTTTTCTTGGTTCATTGTTTGGATCTGCTTGTACAAAGGCATTGCCATCACAGCTCGCGTTGTCTACATTACCATCGTCTTACCCATCATCATGACCGTCATCCTAGTCGGTCGTGGTGCTTCGCTACCCAACGCTGGCCGAGGAATCAAACTATACTTTGGCGAGTTCAACGGTGATCAGCTCGCTGCTGGCAAGATTTGGCAAGCTGCGACTAGTCAGGTCTTCTACTCTACAGGCGTCGGTTTTGGCTACTATACTGCCTACGCCTCCTACAATTCCAAGTTCTCCGATGCGGTCCAGGATGCCATGATGATTTGCAGTGCAAATGCCTTGTTCGAGTCCTTCGCTGCCTTTGCAGTTTTCGGTGTTGTTGGATACCTTGGTTTGCAGCCTGGTGTTGGCGACCCTGTCGGAACCTACACGCTTGGTTTCTACACCCTTCCCAGCGCCATCCAGGAAATGCCTGGCGCCCCATTTTGGGCAGTCTTGTTCTTCTTGACTCTCTTCCTGCTCGGTATCAGTTCATCTTACGCGCTTCTCGATGCCATGATTACAACGATCTGCGACACTCACTGGGGAAGAAAATACAAACACTCGACCATCGCTACTATCATCACTGTCATCTCGGCGTTGACTTCGTTGTTCTACTCTACCGGGTTTGGCTACGAAGCCACCAACGCTGTTGACGCACAGATCAGTAACATATCTCTGATCTTCGTTGTATGGGCTGAATGCGTCTGTGCTACTTCCTTCTATCGCTTTGTCGATGTAATTGGTCAAGTAGGCGCACCGTCATTTTGGCTTTACCAATGCTCGTACATTGGCGCTCAGATCATTGGTAATGCCGTTGCACATAGCGTCTCTGACAAAATTGGTGCTGGTGTAGGTTTCGGAGTTTACATTGTAGGCACAGTGATTGCTGTCGCTCTCGCAAAAGACCCTACTGTCCCAGCGCCACGCTTCTGGGGCCGTAACAAGCTTTTGAACCGTATCTGGTGGTTCGCCCTTTACTCTGTAAGTAAACTGCTTCACCTCGAACGTATATATCCGCTGATACAATGTAGGGTAACCAACTTGCGCGCGACCTCAACTACGTTGTATGCGTCGGCAAGCAATGGCGACTACCCGTCTTCTGGGCTCCTATCCTGCGATACTTTGCCGCTCCCGTCTTGTCCATTGTCTTTTGCTTCGCATATCCCACTTTCTACGCCACACGTGGCGACCCCTTACAAATCTTCGCTTTCATGGTCGCCCATCTCATCGTCCTGGTTGTCCTCGTTGGCTTCATCATACCGAAGAGCTTAAATATCTTCGTGCCTCCAGAGCGACGCGATGAGGGAAATAGGCAGTACGCTCCGATGACCGTGCTCGGAAAAGACGACACAAACATTGTCGGTGGTGTTGCGCCGGGGCAGGAATACGAAGCTGGTTTGCCGCCGGCTTACGACACTGACAAGGCGGCAGACAAGAAGTGAGCATCGTCAGAGTGGCATCTGAACTTTTCAGATGTGCGTTGTTAGTGGAGTGACCCATTGCAACACCGCCTACTCGTCTAGCCTAGCAACAAATGTCTGTGTACTTGATCGCAAGATCTTTCTATTGCGCCGAATTTGCCCATCGCACTTTCACTCCTCCATGTCGCCCTTCCTCTTCCATGATCACCAGAGGAGTTTATTGCATATGCTACTAACATTTCGTTTCAGATAGCTTGTATCTTCGTTCAATTATGAATTTCGAGACCCAATGACACAAGTCGCGCCTTCAACAATATTCAACAGCCTGCGTACTAGCTCCCGTCGCTGTCTAATTAAATAACTACTCCGATGCAGATCTACTCGAAGTAGAAGAATTGGTATCTATAGCACACCTTCATTTCGGCGCTCAAAATCCCCAAGCCGCTCCACCAATAGCTGCCGCTCCGCCGACCATCAGCATCGCGCCAGTAGGGATCGACGCACCTGACGCCCTTCCCTCACTCACTGAAGTCTCTTTAGCTGATTCTCCAGCCCCACTCGTGTCTTTCGTGTTTGCCGGTGTGGGTGTGGGTGTAGGTGCGGGTGTAGCCTCCACAATCGTAGCAACAGCATATCTCAGCGTCTCCCATGCCCTCAATTCCGATTGCGAAAAGATAGTCGGATTACCACTAGGAAGAGTGTAATCCTCACCGAAAGCATCGGCGTCGCAGGTGATTGGAACCTCGCTGAACACACCAATCCAAGTACAAGCACCATTTCTAGTCTGTACGCCAGGAGCAGTCAGGTGAAACTCCCATGTCTCGGGACCTTGCAACATAGTGAAGGGAGTGCAACCTTCTGGTCCTGTAGTTGGACTCTCAACAGGTAGAGCGGTCTCATAGAAAGACTGGAAAGCGGCAAGGGCGCTTGAGTATGAAGCAGACATCGAAGACAGCTCGTCTGGAGCTGTCAATGAAGATAAGCAACCTGTTCAACGAGCAGTAGGTATAGGGGACATACAGGCATTATACCATGCCACATCGGTCGGTGAAGGAGCTGGAGTCGTGGTCGTAGTTTCGGGGCACATCTTCTCATAGGTGGTGGCTGTTTCGTCGGAACCCATCAATGTAAGGGTTGGCTCCATCTCCCACATCAAATGTAGATAGGTGAGGTTGTACTGCGCATTAATCGCGCTCGCTAATAGCGACGCTACCAGGAACTTGTTCATCATCACTCACGTGGGGCGACGTTATCGTTTGAAATGTTGCTTCAAATGCTTCAGCACCACGTAGGACGCGTGCAGTCGCGAGGCCTTCATTTTATCAGATTTCTACAATTAAGGCCAAAGCCAGAGTAGGCAGCTGCCAAGGTGTTCTCGACCGGTTGGATGATGGTAGGATGCGATCTAACCAGAAGCTTGACAAGCTTATTTTTGAGGCGCAGGGTAAGAATAATGACATTGGAGTTTTGGAGCTAGCGCGCAGTTGTTCCTACGTACCTGGTAGGCCTAAGCGGAACAACAACTGACGGATCGCGTGCCAGCCGTATCCATCGCTTGTAATCATTTCGGCTATCAACATCGTAAATGGACCCATCCCCGTAGTCTCTGATAGCGTACTTGTTTATAATCATCAACAGTAGTATACGCGCGCACTTTTCCTGAACTCTTTCATCAGCCCTCAATTCGGCGGCTACCCTCTGGTGGGAACCGGGAGAGCAGCAACACGACGAAGCCAAGCAATGCGACAGCTGCATTGCACACGAAAGTTAGATGACTTTGACCAATCTCAGCGAGTGCAGCGAAAGCCAGTCCGAACACTGCTGTAGTTGACAAACGCGCAATATTTTCCACGAGCGTGATGCCGCTCAGGGCATCGACGCGCTCGCTATTCGGTAGCATCTGGAGGATTGATCCTTTGGACGCAGCACCCGTACCTGCAGCAAAAGGTAGCAGCACAGCAACAAGGTACATTTGCCAACCTTTTGATACGAATACGGCCAGCCCAGTAAGTATGCCATCGAGCAAGAGACTGAAGCGCGCATAGAACAGATCAAATGCAAACGTCTCCTGCTCGTTCGTCGGCTCCGGGTTTGGCGGCTCTTCATTTTCCAGAGGATCGACAGTTTCCGTCACTGCGGGTGTTGGTGGTATGATATGAACCTGCACAGGTGGCTCTCTTTCTTCTTCCTCCATCTTCCTCTTCTCGCCGTCACCAAGCCACTTTCGCCCAGCAGCGATGATACGAGGGAATATCAGCGAGAGGAAGCCACCTCTCAACGATGAATACAGGAATATCAATGCTCCATTCTCCTTTGTCCCAAAGTTGAACTCAGCGGTCGCGTACATTTGGAGGAGTACTGGAATATAACCAGTCGCGAGAATACCTAGGAAAACGCCGATACCAAGAGTCAAGGCCCCAAATTGCATGCGCGGGCGACCATTGGGTAGTGACCATTTTTGTGGTGCAAATATACGAAGAGGGCCGAAGAATCGCGCGATGCCAGTGCTCTTGCGAGGTTTCGCATCTTCGTCTTCTTCCGGTGGTGCCATGGCCGGGAGCGAGACTGCAACGTACACGCAACATAGCAGGAACAATGCCAAAGTCATACGGAAGGGTGCAAGTATGCCGAAGTAATCGCCAACAAGACCTCCAATCAGGAAACCAATGGCACTCCCAAAGTACATGCAGCCCTGGAGTCTGCCCAACGCACCTGTCCGCCCTTCATGCTCAACCACATCCGCCACCAGAGAGTTGAGACAAAGAACGTAGCCGTTAGGGCCACCAACTACTGTGATGATCTGCGAGCATTGCACGATCATGATACCCACTTTGCCGCCGTGCATAATACCGATGTTCTGAACAAGCAGACGAACAGCAGGCCAAAAGATCTGTATGATTAGAGCTGACTTGACACCCAGGCGTTTGATGGTCCATCCAGCTACAAGTAAATTGACGAGGCCGAATATCGTTGTTGATGATGCAAGAAGGGCAAAAGCTCGAGCCGCTCCAGCCTCGATTTCCCGTCTGGCACATATATCGGTAGCGTTGGGATCCGGCTCATGGTGTTCGTAATACGCATCGCAAGTCAAGATTCGAAAAGCGTACAACAAGGGAACCTGGGTGATACCGAATGTTAACGATACGAGGAATGCGCATAGTAAAGCGCGGAATAGCACCGAGACGCTCTGCTTTCCTTCTCTTTCTTTCGGCTCGTCGTGCGGCAGAAGGGGTGTCGTCTCTTCAATGGCAGCGGTAGGCCTTGTATCTTGCGTAACAGCCATCTTGACATCTGCTTGGAACTGTGAAGGAAAAGCTTGGTGTTGGGAAAAGTCTTATCGTAATGCGCAAGGCGAATTGACTAACGCACTGCGGAAGCTGCATCCGGGTATCGGCGGTACCGCCGCCACGCGCATCTCCAGAAATCCCTCTCCACACCGACATTGTGAAGTGGGGAATGCTGCATGCATATCGCAACGAAAAGCAGCGCACTTTAAGAACCCAAAGTCTGGTGTTGCTGTAGATTGACAATGGGCAGGTATAAAAATAAGCAATGACGTCAGCCCGCGGAATATTTCCATTTTACCCTGGATACGTCCTTCTATCTAAGAAACCTACCTAACGTCGCGCGCAAACGGTACTCTTCGACGTCTCTATCATTGAAGTAGATTGAAGATACTATTCAATAACTTCCTGGTTGCTCTTCTCATCGACGCTTCTTTACCATCCGCCCTCCTCTGAGAATATGGACCGAGAAACGTATCTAGATAGCCTTTTATTTGCTGTGGTGGAGTGATAAGATCGGAGGAGATCAGAGGAATTCGAGCTCTGTGTATTCAGGTTTCCTGTTCGCACGTGTAGTCTGGGCTCCGAAGAGATGGTTCCTAATGATAGCGCGGGCATAGTAGTCATAATTAGGAGGTTTTCATGAGGTCGCTCGAAATGTGAAATCGCGATAGTAAAGATTCGATTGAGATGCGATATAATGCATCTTTCATGTTGGTATACATCGCTCAAAGTGGGGTATGCCGATGCTAGTTGTGTCCTCCATTTCCAAACAAAACGCCGCCTATGCCGTTCATATATACACCCAATTCCATGCCGAAAAATGTGAAAGTCGTAGCCCCTGTCCTAGCACGCTAGCAGCCGCCAACGAACTAGAAGAGGGTTCTGATACAGGCCGATGCGAGGAATTATTCCCATCTTCGGCAACAGTATCGTTGTTGCAGTGCGCTTAAGCGAATTCGAAGCGCTCGTTGCAGTGAGACATCTCACGGAAGCAGTGAGGGCAGAGGTCCAAGCCTTGCGAGGTCAAGCCAAGTGCGGCTGATGCGGCGTGGAGAGTCTCGCGGGTTGATGTGGGTGCCGCGGAAGAGGCTGGGGTAGGGGCGCCTGAGGCACCAGCTGGGGTGGAAGAGACGGAGTCTGGGGATGTTGTTAACATGGATCGATGGATTGAGTTTAGAGGGGAGACATACCCTTGAAAGAAGGCATTTTGATGTTATTGATGGATTGGAATTGTAAATGTGGAAGAATGACGTGTGTTGTACTGTTGGTGTTGGATGCGGTATGAGATGGATGCAGATGTGGATGATGGATCAAATCCCCCAGAGCCACACATTCCTCTTATACAACTCCGCCTTCGCCATCCCTTCCCAACATGACCCTGAAAACAGTCACCAAAGAAAAATTGGCGAGCAAAAATCGTGTGCAACAAGCACCATCCCGACTTGTCCCGGGCACGTTTCGAGAATTTGCGTCGAACGACATCAAGATGATGCGCCACGCTCGCCTCACGCGCTAAGTGGAGTGATGATAACGCGTGTGACCCACTATTAGCCGCTAGCGCGGCTGAGATTTTCAGGGCCGCAAGCTTGAGGCTCGCCATAGTGCATTTAGACATCGGCTAGAATGTAATTTTGCTTCGAAAGGGCTTCTTGTTGACCGGTCTGGTGCTGGCTGAGACACGCTTGCGAAATCTTTGACTCTCGCGATACAGCGATTAGTGGCCCGGACAGATGGAAGATGAAGTTTTGCTGTCAACAGAAGTGCACCGGGAGATAGTCGGTGTAGCCACACTGGGCCTGCCGGATATTCACATGTCAGACATCTGCTATGGGTCGCTACGGTTTCAGACGACGTCATCGCGTTATCGTCATCGGGTGTCGCGATCTTCAGGTGCGATGCATCCATCAGCCTCGCCAACCTCTGACACTTCACATCGCGACTAGATCACGTTAAGGTCGTATGCTACGGGCTGACCCGCTAATGTGTCGTTCCGACTTCTTTATTACACGTACTGCTTCAGGGACTTTCCTGATTGGATGAACGCTGTGCAATTTGCAGTCTGTTGAAGCCGGAACTGACGACGTTGGATGTTTCGCATACGGCGCAGATAGTCCCACACCTATAAAGCGGCATATTTGGGCTGTGTGTCAAGAAGAAGCTGAAGAATATGCTTGTTAAGGCTGCAGAAGTTTTGAAAAGAGACCTCGATGGACAGGCATGACCGAGCGAATGTTGCATCCAAGAAAGTCTTCCACATGATAATGCATGTGATCAAAGACGATCGTGGGCTTGACGAGTGTTGAAATTGAGGTCGAGTTTGTTAACTTGAAGTGGTGGTTGTTCAGGCGCAGAGTGATGGCTACTCCGCTCTTCTGGATCTCGGTCATTCGGTATAATGATACAGCGAGAAATACACCGCGCCCCGAGGTTAAGAACACATGTGTAGGTAAACACGAATGCTGCTCAATTCACAGTATACATCCTGACACACAATGACTCCTTCCAATCCTCTCAACGCAGATTACGCATGGCCACTTTGGGACAATGAACCGATTGAAGACGCCTTTGAACTCGATACCGCCGGTGGCATTGACAAAGCCGTCGCGAAGAGCGTTGCGCGACCCTGGCTTTTCGGATTCAAGCCCACTAATGCTTCTTCGAACGATAAAGCTATCCTAATTCTGGGCGGAGGAGGATATGTGGAGCTCATGGTCGGAAGAGAAGGCGTTCAGGTGGCGAGGTGGTTGGCAGGCTTAGGATTTCACGCTTTCGTGCTGATTCACCGCTTCCCCAATAAGGAGACGAAGAGTCAGGCCCCGGTAGATGATGCAAGGCGGGCGTTGAGTTTGATCGAAGAAAAGAACCTTGCGCGAGGAGGTCTGGCGATATGCGGTCTTTCTTCTGGCGGCCATCTCGCTGCATCCGTACTTGCGCAATACCCCACAAGTTGGAGCAATCCTGATACGAATGGCGTCCTACCAAAGGTCGAATTTGCCATTATTGGCTACGCGCCAATCTCCACGAATGCGAAGGGTCGTCAAATCATTCCGAACAAGCCGGCCCTTGAGCCACCGGAGAAGCAGACGCTGTATGATGAGATGCAGCCAGATGAGCTTTTAAGACATCCCGCACCACCGACTTTCGTTGTGTATGCTGGAAACGATCCGGTTGTGCCTGTGATCAATGCATACCGGCTTGCTGAAGCTATGACAAAAGGTGGTGCGGCTGTTGAGCTTCATGTTTTCTCGGACGCGCCGCATGGATTTGCCCTGGACACTCCAGGGATGCCGGTGAGCGATTGGCCCGTTATGTGTGAGAAATGGATGGAGCAGTGCGGGTTTCTTATTTGACCAACCGAAGCTGCGTAGATGGGTTCGTGTCTTGTACACCAGCATTCATTGAGGTTACATCGTATGCCTTCTTCCAAGATGGTTAGTAGAAGTCATGGCGCGGACTTCCGGGGCATGGTCTTTGGGAAGGCGGTAGCTGCTATCGAGCAGAACCAATATCCAAGCCCCCAGATCGGGTTCAGCTGTTTGAACTTTGCTGTGCTCTTCGAGAGTTTGCCATATCCACTTCAGTAATTCGAAGCGTTTACCACGGTCAACGTAAACATTTGCAAGGAGTAAAGCGATAACACATGCGCTGAATCTGAATCTGGCGCTGTGAAGTATGTTCGACTCAAGCCGATATCGAAATCCGCATACGTGACCGAAGACAGCAATGCGATCTGCGACAACCAGATTTTCGCAGTCTTGAATTGCCCTGAATATGGGGTAACAGCCGTACTGGGACGTGGCACGGTCCCAAGAGGTAGTGTAGTTTCTGTGTATATCATCTCTGAGTCGGTAGAACTTTTGACCCTGGTAACTCACATCCTCACGATGCGTTTTCGCTAACAGGTTGAAGTGTGCCACTTCAAAACATAAATCGGCGCCTATCGTATGAAGGCGTAATTGGTGCGGCAGCTTGGTAAATTCCTTGATCGGGACCAGAAGGAACAAGGTCGAGGCGCACCGTTTCTCTTGATATGCCCATGTTCGACTGAACCACGTATCTTGTGTGATATAGTGTAGTAACGTGGTGGCTCCTTGAACACGCTGGTCGAAAGCACTGGTATGATCACTTGTTTCTCTTGACAGTTTAGCAAGATTCCTTTCCGTCTCTCTTTCTGCCTCTTCGAAATAGAGATATGTTACGAAACATTCGAGGAGAGAATGATCCGTTATCGTGACTGACAGGATTGCGACTGTCCATTTGCTCTCTTCGTAGATACGATGCATAACCTTCAGATGTGACTGAATATCGGCAGAACTGGTCTGATCGATACACTCCTGATCAATCCAGAGGAACTGACATTTACGAGATCGTGCGAATAGCATAGCACGATGGAAGACAAGTTCCGGACAGCTGATAGGCCTCGGTTCGCACATCGCAACGTCTGAGGATTTCGATATACGATATTGTGGTATTTGAGGCAGACCCTGTGTAGATTGCGTATGCTTCCAGCAGTAAGACACGGTGACGTATTCCATATCATGCTGGTGCTCTTCCGGAGTGGTAAGCCGGTATTCGTTGTAGTTGTCGTCCACAAGCCATTGGTCGCGAGACACGGGTGTGATAAACCGAAGTCTGAGTGGTGAATCGTAGGATACTTCGTAAAGTGCTAGGTCGATGATCCGCTCTACTTTTTCGTGAAGAGCTTCCGGATTGTCATAAATCTCCTTGAGAGGAACACGGTCGTCGCGCTGCATGTTCGGAATCGATGAAAACTATCCGAGAGTGGGTACAATGAAGAGTGTTGCAGCATCCAGCTGGAAGTGCCTCTCAACATCCCGCGCTTATCTTCAATAGTGGTATCGTGTGGCGAGCGACAGCTATGGTTCTCGGTGGATATTCAGCGGCTGGCTTAACGAGGGAAAGTGGCTTTAGTGTCGCGTCGATATTTCTGTTGACCAGCAACGTGAAGGGGTGAAGTGCCGAATGTAGACACCCACGTGCATAGCGGGGTAGTGATGTAATGAATGAAGTAACCACACAGCTAAAAGATGCTGTTACTGGATGGTCTCGTCACCAAAAAAGGTTACATACAAAAGTACCTATCCGCACCAGCTATCAAGTTTGTGTATTGGCTGAAAGATGTAATATTTAAGATTTCATTATCTTCAATATGATATCGCAAAGCTAACAATACATTACACATATTTGCATACCCGGATCTAATATTACGCCCATTTTAAAGTATCAACCCTATAAACCCAATGAAAATGTTCTTCGAGTCATCGATCCGGAAAGCATCAACTCATGCGCACTGGATATCGCGAAACCCCATTTTGAACGCCTGAATATAAATGCCACACCATGTTTGTCATCATCAGTACAATGATCGTCGTTTAAGTTTGTTCCTGGTCTTAGTTAGCATTTTCCTGTTACAAAATCACCGTTCGCTAAAGGAATGGACTTACGTAGAGCCCCAGCTCAATCGGCTCTTCGGTCTTGCCGGCTCAACACCCATCGCACTGCGGGGTCTCTCCTTCTTCTCCACGTTCTCCGTCTCAGCTGGGTTTGTTGCCTGGTTCGTCGCGCTCTGGGTAGCGTAATACCGTGGGGTAGCGGGAGAATTACGTCTTGGGTTCGGCGGACGCACAGCCTGAGGTAGCGGCGAGGTCTTGGGTGTAGCGAGAGGTTGAGCACCGACAGGCTTGGACGCAATGGCTGATGCAGCGGTAGAAGGACGAATAGACAGGTTCTTGTCCTTGGGTGCAAGCACGCGCCTCAATTTAGACTCTTCCCGCTTCAGAGGCTCTTCAGCCCGTGTCTTCACAGCCTCAGTGGATGTAGAATCAGCCTCCTGGTTCTTCCTGACCATCTTCTGCATCATAACCTTAAGACCCAGACTCCTCCTGCGGTTGCTCTTCAGCTCTCTCAGCTCAGCAGGTGGGACGTCGTGCGACATCAAGCTCCAGCGGTTCGATGATTCCTTTGGTGAACTTTTGCTGCGGAGGTGTCGTTGGGGTGTTTCTTGGATACTTCCTTCCCGTTCTGGTACTACCGGCATGGTTGGTAGAGTTTCCACGGGTGGCGTCTCCTCTGCATGCTTCGTCAGCGGTGGACTCAATTCTTGGATGAGTGTCGCACCACTTGAGCGAGCGGATGAACGATCAGTACGCTCCGTGGAGATGACGCGCTGCCGGGTACGTTGCGATCCAAGGCGTTCGTGATCGAGCATGAGCTGGTACTTTGTCGCTTGCAGCTCGTCGATCGATTGCTTCAAGCGTTCGATCTCGTCTTGATCTTGCGTGTGAAAGCTGGCAGCTGCATCGAGTTCGCCCTGTATGTCCTTGACGTAATGGTCCTTCTCCGCAATGGTGTTTCTGAGTAACTCCATCTCTTCGTCCTTGCTAGCGAGCGCTTCCCTTAGCTCAGATACCTGACCCTCCATGCGCTGGAAGTGTACACGGTGTACTACGCTGGGACGCGCAGTTTCCATGTCTTCAGTGACCTCTTTCTCTTGATTTAGCTGCACCCTGAAGGACTCTACCTCCTGCATTGCTGCAAACAAACGTGCATTGGCGTCGCTCAGTCGCTTTTCTAGAGCAGCCACCTCAGCATATAGTCGGAGGTTATCCTGCTGAGTAGTATTGAACATGGCTTCAAGCTCGTCCTTGTCGTGTTCGTCCTCATCGATCGTCGGTAGTCGTCCTACAACAGAGCCGGCCCGACTCCTGGGCTGTGGCTCCGCTTCCGCAAGTTTGACCGTGGCCTCTTCTAGCTGCTCTCGCGTCTGTGTATGCCTTTCCCGCTCCTCCTTCAAGGCTTTCTGAATCTTCTTGGCCATCTCCCATGCTCTTTGTAGTTCAGCTTGCTGGTTGACGACTTCTTCGTTGCTCTTGTTATTGAAGGCCAGTTGTTGTTGCAGCTTTGCAATGACCACGTCCTTGTCTTCTTCAACTTCCGGCGAGGTTCTGCCTTTCCTGACTCGAAGCAGCCTCACTTCGAGTGCATTCTCCCCATCCTCTGATTCCCGTGGGCTTGACTGTCGCTCCATGGAGATCAGCCGCTCCCTCATCAGTTTCAACTGGGCGTCTTTGACTTCCATGATAGTCTTGTGTTGCCGGGCCATCTCTTCCAGCTGGTTGTCGCGATCTTGGATGTTCTTGTCTTTCTGCTCGTTGCCCTTTCGAAGTGCAAAGAGCTCAATGTCTTTCCGATATACTACAGCTTGATGGTCCCGGCCCAAGTTTTGTTTGATAATCTTCAGCTGTTCGCGGAGGCTGGAGTATTCCGCGAAGGTCTGGTTGAGCGCATCGCGTGCGTTATGAAGCTCCTCCTTAGTGACACGGAGTTGGACTTCACGAGCCTTGTGTGCTGTTTTGGATTCAGTAAGCGACCGTTGCAGTCGCAGGATCTCGCTATCTTTGGGGTCCACGGTGGTTGTTTTTGTATCGCATGTCCCTGACTGTGATGACACAGATGGCTCAATTGGCTCGAAATCTCCATCCTCGACGGCTGCTGTATTAAGATCGAGCACGATACTCGCATTGGCCTGATCAGAGCGCGTTTGGCTGCGGAGAGTTTCGGAAGGCGAGGGCGAGCGGGGTTGGAGATCTGATTCGCCGTCAGGGTTGGTAGCGCCCGCCGCTAAAACCCGCTGAAACACGTCAAACGCAACCATGACAAAAACCAGTACTAACAAGTCTCCGGCTTCGAATTGATGATTCGTGCAGCTGGCAAGTGCGACGAAGTGCAACGCGTTTGCAATAGACGTTTGATGTCTGCTCGCCCAGGTATCTGGAAGCTGGCGTGCAACGAGGAGAAATGTGCCTGGTAAGGCTGTGACGATGATCGTAGAAAGGGGCGAGTCAAAAGCAAAATCCAACACCCTGCGGCGAACGTCGATCGCAGAATCTACTCCCGATGTGACCCTGAAAGCTCCGGTGTTGCGTGTGCTGCGGAGAAGTTGGTAGACGCCACTTGTGACTGGTCTGTCGCCTTGATCGACGTTAGTTGGCCGTTGTGGCGTCGGAGACGCGCAATAAAGACAAATAGACTGGAAACATACCTGATGTGGTTGTTGGCCACGCGAGCTCAGATGGGTTGCTGGCGGAACACACAGTTGACGCAGTTGTTGAGCCAAGGGCGGATGACAATGTCGAAGACAAGGCAGATGGCTCTGAAGATGTTGATATAGTCTCTCCTGTGACTAAAAGAAAGCTTTGTGGTAAAGCAGGGATAGGTCCTGTACCCGTGGACAACGGGTAACGTTGATCAGTATGTTGGGCTTCGTCAAACGCTCTCAGCATTCTGGCACGAGCCAAGCTATGGAACGGTTCGGAGGTGAGACGTGGAATCGAGAGTTTGAATTAGGCGAGTCGAAGAGTGAAGCGGGGTGAGATGCCTGGGTCGCGGTGATGATAGAGTTCATTAAGGTTGACGTCAAATGCTATACGTTGGGTGTACCGGATGCAATCGCCGTAAAGATCATACCACCAGACTCCAAAAAAGACATGAACAGACAAAAGACGAACAAGACGGGGCATTGGTAAGATAAAGGGGAAGCAAGCCCGCATAAATGCGCAGATAACATGAGGGGTTGCAGGTGCCCTGTGACGCCGTGCTCGACTACATCCGTGATGGATATCGCAGCAAAAGTAATGGGATTCAACAGGGATCCCCGCAACTACAGCTCACTGAGCTAAATTTCGAACTGCTTAAACCCCTCGACCAAGCCATCGCTAATCTTGGACGGTATTGCCCATACAGGCAGATAGTGCTGCACCTCATCGAAAGCAGGGATGTCGCCTGTATTGGCGTCCGACCAGAGGCACACAATCCTTCCAGAAAGTTTCGATTGTTCTTTGGCGTTCCAAGCTACGCTAACGTTCCAGGGCTGACCAAATTCGCGATGCCACAGTCGCACTTCCCGGGCCCCGTCCACACCGACGGGTTTAAAGCGAGAATCTGAAACAGCGCCGGCGACGCTCAATGCTGTTATGGGCGAGTCGAAAACAATGCGGCATGCGCGCGTATTATGGCCAACAACGCGTATTATCGCTTTGTTGGAGCTGTTGCCCTTCTGGAACGAATAATCGAGCCATTTGCTGATGTATGTGTTGTTGCGGGATGACGATGCATGCGCTGGCTTCGGCACGACTTTAGCGTCAAGACCCTGCCATTCGCACTGCTTTAGCTCCTTACGCGTCGCGACCTCGGGTGTCGTGCAAATAAGCTGCTTGCCTTGCGCACTGGGTAACTCGCCAACAATGCGTTGGACATAGCCGTCCAAGCCGGTCAAGGACACAATGTTGTCGCCAGTCTCGCAATTAACTCGCTGAACGAAATACACCTTCAAGCGATGATCCCTGCTGAACGGGAACGCCACAAGGTTGTAAATGACAGTTGCCACGCATACCAGGAACAGAAAGGTGGGGATGTGGTACGTGAAGCGGTGGATAAAAGGACCGGTTGGCGCGAGCAGCAGCACCGTAAGCCCTGCGAATGCGAGGTAGATGAACAAGGTCGAATTACCGTCTGATGGCGTCTGGTAAAGGGCCGAGGTAAGAAGCAGACCAACTTGTCCAACTAAGATGATCACGATAGGCGCCAACAGCAGAAGTTGAACGATCCAGATCCAGCTCGGTAATTTGCCGCTCCACTCTTGTTCTCCAGGATACACGTTGCCGAGATCTATTTGCCGGGGTCCTTGTGCATGATCTTCGCCTCCCTCACTGATGGAGTCTCGCCTGTTGCCGCCATATCTTGTAAATCCGCGTCGATCGCCTCGTAAGAGTGAGGTGGTCTCAGTGGCGTCATCGTCTCCCACAGGACGATCATCAGACCGTGCTGCAGTGGTGCTGCCCGTAAGAGGCCTGCTTGCAGACTCTGAGTTGCGTCGCGATTCACTCTCTTGCTCGAAGTGGCGAGCATATGCTGATTTGCTTGGGGCAAGGAAGAGCTCAAGGTAGGAAAGGAGGATGGCTGCGAACACTGCCGCAAAGTAGAAGAGCGCGGGGTAACCGGCAGCAATCTGGTAGTCATTCACGAACACCGTGATGATAGTGAGAAAGACAAAGGAGCCGACGAAAAGCCAAATCAAAGCGTACATACGCTGAAGTGCAGATGGTCGCATAGCATCAGCTCCTCGGGCAAGGAACCACGCGACAAAGACCCATGCCGAGAGCATCATACTGTTGAGATTGTCAGTACAAGATCAAGCGGCAGCATGGATGACTTACCTCCAAACAGCGAATGGGCTGCTATACACAATAAAAGCATTGAATCTGACTATGAGATATGCCAATGCGATAACAACAGCGGATGCGGACACAAAGATGATAGGAAAGCGAAAGAAGCCGCGCCAGCCGTAGAGGTGCACCGGATTGTCGTCGTCTGATGAATGCACGTAGGCCTTACGTGCTAATAAGTAGTTCTTGTCGGCCTTGAAAAGACCAAAAGTTAGGCCAATTAGTGTAAGAGGTGCAACAACTAGCAGAGTAACACACAAAGCGAACAGAGTATGCAGTTTGAACACAACGAAAACCCTTCCGAAGAGATCAAACCATACACCGTCACTACCGGTTCCAGCATTGACCCTTCCATTGTCAAGGCTTTCTGGGCCAGTGAACTCGTCACCAGTGATGGCAGCCAGTCCAGATGTCGTGGCTAGAGCTGCTGAAAGCATGTGCCAAACCGAGTTCATTGACGTTTCGCGTGAAGAATCTTCAATCGTGTGATATCGTGCCCTTGGCTCCAAGAACGCAAAGTCCAGACCTCGCATCCCGAGTTCGCCATGGAAGACTTTGTAGTCAGTCTCGCTCCGGACCAAGCCCCTCTTGAAACCATCACCGCTCACGACTGTCCCGAAGGGATACTTGGACTTTTTGTAGAACCTAGTAATCTCGGTATCGGTGCTTCTAAACAAAGCAGCTCTACCACCGGCTCCAACTCCCTCAAGGTTCACGAACGTGTGGGGGACTTGAGATATCGGGTTTCGCATGAAAGCTTTGGCGCCATTTAGATAGTCCTCTTCGCCGTTGTTGAGCAGCAGTACCACAGTTCTCTTGGGCCAGTTCTTGGACTCTGTAAAGTATGAGAGAAGTTGTAAGATCGTCACGACACCGACGCCATCGTCAGTTGCACCATAGCCACTGCTCACAGAATCGTAATGGGCATTCACAAGCACACCACCGTTTTCCGAACCACGATCAGTAGAGTTGAAGGGTTCGTCATCGTCGGATCCGCGGATAGCGACGATGAGATTGGTGCCTTCAAAGTAGACAGAGGTACTACCGGACGAAAAGGTCGCATTGGAGGTCAAGTCATTGAACAGCTCGACTTGGCCCTCTCCCAGGTCCTTGGAGCTGACGATGCTCTTGATGCGTGTAAGTAGATAATCGCGTACATCGTCGTTGGCCTGGCTGTTGTAGGGATGGAAGCGGCGCGTAATGTGCTGGAGGTCGCCCCAAGCTTCGGTGAGGTTGATGCCGGCTGGCGGATTAGATGGGTAGTTTGGTACCGTCAGGTGGGTAACGAGCAGGCCAGCAAAGAGGCCCACGTAAATAACGGTGGTAAAGAAGATGACTGGCCCCGGGGTAAACGAGAAGGGATTAAGGCGGGCCATGGTAGCTCTCGTGGAGCCACGTATCTTCCAAAAGCTCTCGGTAGACGAAGATGACGCAAGACACGGTGGATTCGGTTGTTGTAGCTATGGCGGGGCGCGTCTTGTGCATTGCATGTGATGGATCATAGCTCCAAGACGCTAGCCGCATGTGTGCTTAGCAGAGAAGGAAACGCCAAGCATTATGTCACCACCATCACACTGATATTGGCCAAAGTCGGAGATGCGATACGAGCATTCTCGCGGTACACAGTTGATCTTGGTATCTGCGAAGAACTACCTCTTACTTTGTCATGGGCCTTGAGGCTCGCATGCCACCGCTCCAGCCGGATGTGGATGCTCTAGACAATGAGGCATCCCCCATAGTAGAAGCCGCCTCCGAACTGCCCGTACTGACGGCAACACCTACAGCCTACTCGGGATGTTGTCTGGCTCTTAGCAAACCCCTCATCGCATACTTCGCGTCGCTCCTTCCTCAACCCCCATCGCTTGCTCTATCCGTCGGAAGCGGCTTTGGCCTGCTCGAGAGTTACCTCATCGTCAAACCTCACGCGCACCACATCATCGGCGTCGAAGTAGAGCCAAGCTCCAACCAGTATCTGCCTCCCTCAAACCATCGTGTCGTTCACGGTTCGCGCTTCCTCGAGCCGCTCGCTGCGGAAGCCACGAATTGGCTCTTTGTTTACCCGCGACGCGTAGGGCTGGTGCGCGAATATCTGGCAGAATATGGTCAAGGCAGTGTGAGGCGGGTCATATGGGCCGGTCCCAAGGCTGACTGGGATGACTACAAGACTTGCTTCGCAGATTGGCATGTTCAGGAGCAGAGCGCCGAGCTGGTTGGGGGAAGAGCATGGGAATTGATCGCTGTCGCAGACAAAGCTACGCCCTGAGACGATGCATCTCAACGTCAAAGGCTCGAGTGACTCAGGGTCAATCGTCTCTGCGGCTAGAACTTCAAATTGGCATAGAACCCTGTCACTACTGAGTATGCCGATAGCTGCGCAACTCGCAGGTCATCCTCAAGTGCAAGCGATGTTCATGCCACGATGCTGCGTCGACCAATTGTTTGCGCACTCTTTGTCTTGTTGACCACAACAATGAGGTGGTCTTCTTTCGGCGGACAACAACAGTGTGAACTTCATTTTGATGTCAGGTTATCCTCCTTTCACTTGTGTCTTTGCTTGTCTGCCACGACTCAAGTAGGTTGCTTTGTGCCCCTGAGTACATGTGCGGCATCTTCTCGACTTTTGTGCATGTCAAGTGTAGCTCGTCTTAGTAAGACATTTCATCACAGTACAGTATTACAGGCGTGCATACCGACGATATTTCAAAATCGATACACATACTTTCTGGATCCCGCGAAGTCACAAACCATGGCCGCCGCTCTTCCAGGCCTCGCATTGCAAGCTTTTGCAGATCTATGGGGTCAACAACCCGAACTAGCAGCCGGGCTCTACGCTGTGGGTGCAGTTGCTGCTGCTGTGCCGCGCTACGTCCCAACGTTTGAGCAAGCCAAGTTCTGGTGTCAAAAGCCTAGGCAGTCGACTACACATGTCGCTGAATCCATACCCGTCGCTAGCGAAGCACTTGGCACAGTCAGTGCGACATTCTCTCGAAATCGCCCGCCACCCGTCGTTGTCATAACGCGATCTGCTTCTCCTCCGCTGGCTACCGAAATAATCCTGACATCTAAAGACGGTATGGAACCTGAAGTATCGGATTCTTCCGCGCCATTCAATTTCGCCTATACTGACTCCGGCTCTCCAGCTGTACGTTCTGTCACATCGACAGAGAGCAGCTCATTTCAAGCCCGACCCGCGTCCAGCGCTACGATTGAGACATCGCCGGATGTAGTCAACAAGGTCTTGGGAGCCGTGCCAGCGGAAACACCAAACATATCCTCCGATCATATCGCACCGAAACCATCCATCAAGACCTCCGTTTCGTTGATCGCCGCATCAGACGAAACAGCGGCAAGCTCATCGCGATGCCCTGTTAGATGGGCTGGTACTCAGACCTCAGCACCGTTGAATAGATCCTCGGAGCCGGAAGGCGAATCTGCAAGTAACTCCATTGATGCTGACTCGTCTGCGTCAGATAAAGAAGCCTCTAACTGTACAAACATGGTCTCTACAGTATCACCGAACATGTCTTCGCATGGAATACCCACTCACGGGAATTCCACTCCGGACGACCCACGGCTCTCCAACGAAGCGACACAACAAACTACTGGTATTGCATCTAGTAGTGTTACATCTATAGACTCTGGTGAATTTGGGCTGAAGCTTTCTCGGACATTATTCCAGGTGGTCGCTAACAACTTGCCTGCTATGCCCAAGTCCTACAAGCAGACTGAGTCTCCTTCAAATGATAACAAGGATCGCAAACCTTCGTCAAAGACGGCCTCTAGTCGATTACCATCTGAGCAGTTACTGTCTGAAACTTTGGATGATTCCCCCAGGCTTGGAGAACATCGCCCAGCCTTCACAACGTCAGTAGAGAGACAGTCCAGCGAACCACTCCACGCTTCGCCATTACTAGCGGAATCCGAAAGTCTGTCCAGTTTTAAAAGCCGACATGCGTCTGAAGAGAGTCATGTGGCATATCGTGTGGAAGGAGAGCCTACTGCCTCATCCAACTACAACGACTTTATCAGCTGGGTAGACATTGTGCTGATACTAGTGCCTTCGATTCTTATCGCCACAAGCATAGGTCTTGCGGGCAACGATCCCTTGGACCAGGATCTCTATGCCACTCTAATGGCTACACTGTGTACAGTTGTCGTTGGGTGTCTCCCTTGTCTCGATTTCTGTTGGCCGACCTTGCGGTACTCATTCCTTGCCATGTACAGACACTCTCTGGAGTCTATCTCCTCCTTCATGTTACATCTTACAGGATTTGTTCGTCAATGGCAGGAAACTCTATCCGGAATTTTGAGAAAGCAACATGCCGACCACATCATCGCCGACCGGGTACCATATGCTGTTCTCATTGGGTTTTTGTTCATTGCCCTGTTGATCACGATCAACCAGATGATTACTCGACTACCCCAATATGCAGAACTAAGTCAGTGGGAAGCAAATCGTCTTCGTCTGTACAAGGGCTTCGTTGGCACCATTGCCGCTTTGATCGTAGGTTGGTTCAGCGATTATATTCAGGATTTCATCTTGGTCTTCACCACGACAGGTTTTATATACCTGCTTCATTCGTACTACGGACAGATACTGAGCTTTGCCTCTCGCTCGGTTTTCGAAACCTATAGGTTGGTAAAGGAGGCGATGTAGCCATATGTAGCAGTTTACGCCGCCGTCACCGCTACGGTATACCTTACCAGCCATCCACAGCAAGTCTTCGAGTGCTTCAAAGGTATCAACGGCGGCGTGTCTCTGCCCATCAACCATTGTGCTATCGTGGTGAAATATGGGGCCCTCTCGATCGCTGTGCTCCTCATGCACATACCAATCGTTTCCCGTGGTCTTCGGGCTATTCGAGCTCGGATTCAAGAGAGGTACAACCGCGTCGCGCACGATCGTCCTGTTGCTCCATGGCACCCTACACTCGGAGGAGACCGCTTCTGGTTGTCGCTTACTATCATCGTTCTGGGCGCCGAGAAAGTGTCTGAAGTTATGACAGAATGGGCTGTTCCCACTCTCAAGACCGGTGCTATGGTGATCGTCACCCTGACTTTGGCACGTGTGTTGATGCCATTGTGTCCCATGCTTCTCAGCCGCATCTGGAACACTGTTCAATCTTGCACAACAGAACTATCAATGACGACCGCTCACGCAAGTAGAGAGGCGATGCTGATGACTTCTAAACGTGCTTTAACATTCCAAAAATGGTCAGCAAAACTACTGACCCGCATGATATCCGACTCCGTTTCAAACACTTGGGCGATGGTCTCGCTGGTCCTTGGAAAAATTTCGACGAATTCAAGATTCTTCTACAACACAAACATTGAACCTGTCGTAGTTTACATTGATCTGAGCTGCCATAGCAACTGGTGTCAACGCCGAACTTGGCGGTGGGTTCCGCGCGCGATAACCATTGTTTTGGTTACCGTCCTTTGCACCGCGGGATGGGTCATCGCCGCCAGAGCATACCCCGAACATAAGGTTCGTTCAAGTCTAAGCTTCGCTGTTAGCTTCATGGCGGTTTATATCCTAGGCACCTTCGGAGCTCTGGGTTGCACGCAAGACTACATCATCGTTCTGATAACCATTTTTGCCATACTAATACATCTCCCGCTTGAGATTCAAGCACCTACCAATGGAAAACCTGCTAGCGTAGCACTCGTCGATGAAACACCTATCGACGAAGTACTTGCTGCTGATGAGCTATTTCCCGATGTCATGCAGGCGGACGAAGACTTGGCTGTGGAAGCACCCCCTAATCCCCCAGCCAGACTGGCAATGAGTGCGCCTGGGTCTGTCGCTCTCCCTTTGCCTTCTAGATGGTGGTGGCAGCCAATGGTAGATTGGTTCTACATTAACAATGCAGCGCGAGCAGCAAAAGAGAGGGCCGTAGAAGAGGCTAGGGTTGTTGCAGAGCAAGAGAATGCGAATTTTCGATTGCAAGTTAAACTCACAAGGCAAGATCAGCCCTTAATTTCCATTGATATTGAGTATTTACAGAGGCTTAGAGACATGACATCTGGAACGAATACTACTCAGCCGCCGAGCAACGAGGATGAAACACAGACAGCCAGAAAAGCATGGAACACTACTCAGCCGTTTCGACCAATGTACATGTATACTGAGCGGGAATATCAAGCTGCTTTGCGCGGAGAGATACCTGCGATAGCAACATCAGAGTCTACCTTGGAGCCGCCTGTCGAGTCTGTCCCGACCCCTCTCGCTCAAGATTCAGCGGTTTCTGTGGCTACCGATCTTTCGATTCTCGCTTCCGCACCTCCATCTGCGACTGCATCCGTACCTGCTCCTCAGACCTCAACTATTCTTTCAAATACGTCTTCTCTAGTCAGAGCCGATGCATCATACCCAGCGACTTCTTCCGGTTCTCTTTTTGCACCTGCTCCAACGGCAACACCTGATGTTACGCAAGAGCGCATCGCCAGCACAAATGAAGTGCCAGCAGAGGTTGATAATCCAGATGCATTGCCTATCCTCATGACAAGCTCGTCAGGCTCCAGACCGCAAGGGGATTGTAATCATGAGACGAGTACCCCAATCGCAACCACGACGACGCCTGCGGTCTTAGACACAAAACCTTCTCACGAGCTTGCCTTCGCGCCCGGGACTGGGCTGGCCGAACCTGGTATGCCGTTCATGGATCCAGGTAACGAGCAGGGACCATCAAGCCTTCCAAACCCTACAGTCTCAGCACCTATTATCCAGAGTGCTGAGCCGTCTCCCGATGCAAGCAAGTCACTGGACGAAGACAAGCTTGCTGACGAACTGGAGCATCCTTGTACAGAAGATAGGATTGGTTATGTGGAGAACGCTCAGGCGGACGGTCAACAGCAAGACCAACAACACAACGAGAGAGACAGCGACGATGAAGGAGACTTTAGCTCAAGCGGTGGCGTAACTGGTCTGGATGACAGATCCTTTGAGGAACAGCCCATAGACGAAACTGAAGGACTAGATGATGAAGCTTTGGCGGCAGCTGAACAGCTGCGCGAGGAGATGGAGAGTGGAGCTAAACGAAATGAAGTCATTACTTCGGTACAGGCGGCTTCCGATGAAGCAGCTCCGCTTGTCGATAACTGCGATGATAACGAGCAGACAGGAACTAAAACGGAACAACCGGTTGAGAGGACTCTCATGGATGTGGATCCGGTTATAATACCCTCAACTGCTGAAGACGGCTTTCAAGACGAGCATGGTAATGTGATCGACACACCTATGGGTGGTGTTCCGGAAAATGGTGCTGATATGCTGGAGCTGAAAGTCTTGTCAGCAAATTCTGGAGATGACATAACAATGGGAGGTACGGATAATAAAGAGGCTTCTGATCGGGGCGGAGGTTCTTCGAGTGGAGAGGGCTTTCACGGTGAGATCGTTCTCGACACCCAGATCAACAATGACGTTCATATCTTGGACAACAAACTTGAATCGAACAATCCGAAAGATGGAGATGGCAGCGATGATAGCAGCGATGATAGCAGCGATCGTTCTGAGCCACATGGACGTCTTCAGTCATCGACGGTTGGTGGAACTACTTCAGCAGCACCATTCTCAAACGCTGGCGGAGCCATTGCTGCCGCTGCGGATACCACCATGACGGACAACGACGAAGACAGTGAAATGATTGATGTAGCCATCATAGGCGCAGCCGAGATCGGCAATGCTGGTTGCAACGCATCTGCATCGGCGCAATTCAACACTACTGAATTGCCGAAAGCGATTCAAGCCGCTCAGAGTGAAGACGGTCAGCCAAATGAGAGTTTCACGACTCCATCTGATGTGGAGGGAGGGCAAGATCACAACACTGACGATGATGATGACTGGGACAGCATTTACGCTAGTGCCGATGGCCATCTTTCCTCTGCCAACGTGCCGAGATCTTCGACTACGCGAGCACCTCCTACCGATCCATCGGGTACATACAGCCCATTTTCGAATGCAAGCTCTGGTGACTCAGGCGAGAATATCTCTCCATCTCAACAGATCGATGACTTCGGAACTGAAGAGTTTGCACAGACTGGAGTCGCAAAGAAAGATAAACAGATGCAAATAGATGCACAAAGAGATCTTGATTTACCTTTGAATGGATACGTGAAACTACCAGGTATCAGAAACCAGAGTCATGATGACATTCGTAGAGCCGATGACAAGCCCGGACATCTTACCGCAGGGATCATGGGGATCGATTCCAACAACCATGACACCGACTATCAACAGACACGCGGTATCGACCACGACTTTGAGACCGCACCAAATACTTCCCTAGGTGATTCTCAGCTCCCGACTACCGTCGACGATGAAACCAATACCGATACCGATGGTCTCAATTGGACGGACATCAGCCCCAAGACACGCCTGGTTCAGCTCTGGGAAGACAGACAAATCGTCGACAACCCCGATTACCCACCTCATCGATCCGCGGGCATGAGGCCATTAGAGGAAACATACGGGCAACCATGCCAAATCTTTCGAGAAGTCGACATGGCAGCATATGAGTTTTTCGGCGAGAATCACGAGAACTTCCAATATGCCCAAGAAGGGGTCGATTGGTTCCATCCTGAAGCCGAAGGTGCTGAACCCCGAGACGAATTTGAAGGGGAAGTTGGAGACGATACCAATGCTGCCGCAAATGAAGTAGAAGGTCGCGTGGATGACGATCTCAGCGCAAGAGTCGCTGCTTCCAAAACTGAATCCAATACCGCTTTCCGACTCGACTACTCTGATAGTTTATCAACTTTGTCGAATCCACCTGACAGCACCGACCTTGATGCGATTGGAGCAAACTTGCTTATGGAGGAGATGAATCGCAAGATACCGGTACTGAAGAATGGAGGTAGAGAGCTTATCGACAACTCTGCGTTAGTCAGCGAAGAAGCCTACCCCAGCAAAAAGGGGAATAGCGTTAGCGCATCCTTACCTGACGACGACGGTACTGAATCCCATCTGATAATCACTGACGCGACAAGGGAAGAAGCGGCGAGATTCGGCTGCACAACTGACAGTCAGATTCTGGACTTTGTGGAGAGCATCGATAGACCAGAAAAGCGAGAGGGCGGTAAATTTTTGACACCAAAGTCTTGGAAAGATCGGAAAGGCAATATTACGGGATCTTCCACGTCCTCAGCCGTCATGTTCTCGCCTCTACAAGCTCCAGCCCAGCAATCGATGCCGAAAACGCGCTACAATGGTCCAGTATCCTTCAACTTTGACGAAGGTGACGTCCAGCCTCGACTCAAACCAGCACCTCCTATGACCAAAAACCTTCTCGAAAGGATGGCGGACTTCAACTCGGATCCGATAAAGCGGGCTGCATTACAAGATATGGCAAACAAGGTTGGTGATACGTCGAAGATTCCATCACCGGCTTGGACGTCTGCAGTCGCTACTAACAACAGTCCCTTCGCATCGAAGTTCCAAGATGCATCAAACTCGCCCCGATTGCAGAAGTCAAATTCCACTTCGCCATCGTCCTATCCCAGACCATCGATATCATCTAGTGGTTACGACAGCATCCGCGCTTCGTCGCTCCCTTTCGATCCGTCAAAGCCACGTCCGTACGTACCAGAAGGCTTCAATCCAAGCGTTTTGGATAGGTTGAACAGCACAAATCCTTTTCGTCGATCGTCGAGTACCAACGCGTCGACGCCATCTTATCTCCAACGTGATGCTATTGTCTCTCCGACCAGGAGGCTAGGTTATCGACCCATGAGGCTACCGGAGGCCACATTGTCGACGTCGGATGATCCGTTGATAAGGAGTTCCGCTCACGATCCTTTAGACACCTCGATAGGAATGGCTGCTCCACCAGTAAACCCACCAAGTTATGATTCTCTACAGCCTGCAGCAGGCATGGCGTCTGAAATCTCGTCAGTGGGTTCGGTGTCTTATGACCACATGCAGCCTTCTGTAGGTTACACTGCCCAGCCAGCTATGAGCGATGCAAATGAATTATCAAATAATTCTCCGAGAAGCGCACACCAATCATCAGCCCTTCCAGCTACTACAACAATAGATCCAAACAGGATGGTTGACATCGATAGTGACCCATGAGCTCTGCTGTCAGCCATGAAGGATGGTACTTTGGAATATGATTATGCAGACACGACTAGATCTCACGAGGATGTAGCATCACCTTTAACTGAAATTACTGGAAGTAAAAACCTAGACATGGAGCGAGCTTCAAGCACTGCGTCGACGCGATCTAATGCGAAGAGCGATCGTGCAAGCAATCGTGCTAGCAACCATAGCAGTGATCATGACAGCAATCATAGAAGCAACAATGACCGCATCTAGGTTGACAAAGGAAACAAAGACGATGAGTGCTGTGATGGCAATGACAGCTACCATGACAACAATTATGGTGATGTGCCTCAGGAGGAAGCTACATTGATCATCCCCGAAGAAACTTCACAGCCGAACAATCAAGCGGGACAATTGCGAGATGACGAGTGAATGGAGGCTTAAGGCCGAATTCAAGAGGGCCAGCATGTTGCATGTGACAACAACGATATCCAAATGAACCACTGTAACCTATTCATAGACACGGACAACCCTCCTCAATATCCTTTTCATGAGTGTAAGCCAGATAGCCTATGTTTGATAACCGAGTGGTGCTAGTCTTCTTAGTGGTAGCTGACTAGATCCAGTTCAGAAACCAGCTAGAGGAATGAACCATGCCTCAATGAACGGGCCTACTTCTTTGGATTATATAACTTCTTCAGTAACGAGCCGCACACCATCTGCTATAGTCAATCACGGTGGAATCAGTTATAAGCTTACCCAAGAGCAGGGAATGAAAGGATTTGAGAAACGATACAGACTATGATCACTCCACAAAAAGACAAGATGATGTAAAGGGCTCCCGCCACGTTACAATAATGAGCTTCGAAAGCGACAATTTATAGATCTTGCGTTCGAAGCTCTTACAATTCTCGCGGCAGAAGAGAAGAAGTAGAGAGATACCATTCAGGTAGCTGATTCAAAAAAAAAATGAAAGATTAGCCAGTAAAAGGTAGACGACTCGACGACGTGGTACAATGGGAGCTACCAATCAAACCCTCGGCAGAACGGGCATCTCGGGATTATAGTCATGTCGCGCTTGTCGACCAGAAAGACATATCACACAGCCCATCAGCGTTTTTTCCGGTATCGGCGACCCGGTACGAGATCTGGTACCGAGGTCTGCCTACCCAGTATCTCCATATCTGAAGTGCAAGTCCTTAGATCCATACAGCGGTGGCCCTGAGGATGAGGATAACATTTGAGAAGGCGAAGGTAGTCTTCGCCCCCACGAACATCAAATGGTCTCAGCGTCTGCTTACTATTCTTCGTCCAAGGAGGGTGTATGGGTCAAGTTGGATTATATGGCACAGCCAGTCTACGGTGACCCACTGCTTCCAAATTCTGCACAGCAGTATCACAATGACGACTCAGCGCGAGACGTTGTGCATCCGGGTGGCGCAGAAAAGACGGTACGAACTAAAAGTGAAAAGCGTATTTCGAAACACAAAGTTGTAAGCCCCAGGTTGAGTATTACCTTATGCTTGCAGACTTTTATGGATACAGTGGGCTCTATGTCAGTGGTACGGTCTCCTTTGGAATTCTTTGAGATCTGTTGGTCGCAAACATGTGGTCCGATTGCGGGATTGATTCTACACCTTATTGCTCCTTCGCGTCGAGCTGGCAACATTGGAAGAGAGGCTAGCTCATGTGGTAGTACCGTTGCCTTTGAAGAAAGAGCCATCTCATTTTGTTTTTGGTACCTGCCACAACCCTTAGCGTACATACTATACAGTCAGCATCCTCCGTAGCATCAATCCATCACTCTTATACTCCAACGGCCTTCCAACCATCAACAGTATCATAGCTTTGTACTTACCTTTTCCGTTGAGATCAATCATCACTCCGCAATGAAATCCATACTCCTCCTCCTCCTCCTCCTCCTCCTCAGCTTCTTCGCGCTCTTCGCTACCGTTGCTGTTGGTACCGATTGGAAATACCAAGAGGGTGGTAAACAGCATGACAGAGGATACAGAAAAGGTGATTGGGGTGAATGCGGGCAATGTCATCGACACTACTGGGCGTGCTACACAGTACGTATCTAATCTTATTCTGAAGCCTTTTCGTGTCCGATTTAAGGTTGTTAATCATTTCCAACAGGACTGCACCAACGGAAAGGAGTATGGAAACGAGCATGGGAACGACCTCCGTTATCCCAACCAGGAATGCCGCTCACTCTGCCAGCAATGGGCCGAATCGAGCGTACATTGGTGCACGAAGCATCAATGCAAGCTCCATACCGGGAAATGGGGAGAGGACGAATGGCATAGTCAGGTACGTGATCACCAGAAAGCAACAGTGTGGAGGGTTTGGCTAACTTCAACGTTCCTCAAGCTGCATGGATAATGAGTACAAATACCACCGGTAATTCGAAGCCACCGATGCAGAAAGACAGGGATGCAACATGGTTCACAAGGTTAGCCACCTAGATATGCTTGCAGAGAGTTTATGGCTAGGAAGCATGCACCTATTAATCGATAGAGGCGGGATGTTGTAGCTCTTGCTTTCTTCACGATTCATCTTTGATGGTCTTCTGAATCTAGTGATGCGACTTGAGAATTAAATGGAGGCGCTCTCTCAATCCATAAGAATAATGCGCACATCTGGCTGGTGACGGTCATTTGCAATGACGAAAAATCTTGGAACCATCGACCACACTAATCTTCTCACATCCAATCTCTCTTTGAAACCGCTCCTCCATCGACAGCTTACAATCGCCACAACTGCTCCAAGAAAATACCACAGTGATCAGAATAGCGATACCATCATATCATTCACTGTCTTTGCATTCAAGGGTAAACCGCCTATGCCAATATGATAAAGTTGTTGAAGGTTCTGCTGCAGATTCCGTTATCGATCCACAAAAGAACAGGTGCTAGTGGACGTTTTCGAAATCTGGATGAGTGGTCTTGCAAGCTCACAACTTCGGGGCTTGTTAGTCAAGGTTTTGGATATCGATTCAAATGCTCAACGTATACTTTCCAAATGTGGACAACGAGCCTATCATGATATATATGACTTAAGCGACCTTACGTGCCTTACATTATCGAGAAGCAGAAGATAATTATGACGTGTCTGATCCGCAGACGATAGCATATTGTTGATGTAAAACCCCACAATAATCTATTGATTTGTAAGAATTTCAGGAACATTCGTATGATAGTACTCCTCTACAACCGATCTCCAGTATTGTGATACAGACCAATTAGCATTGAAATCAGCTCCATGTTATTTGGCGCAAGGGAGCACAGGTATCATCTCAACATCTTTGAGACACATTAATGCTTAGGTATACGTCGAAATTACTAGTTCTATGTCTCTATCTGGCCACCTGTAGTTCAATTGGTCGCCGCTACTGTCTTTACGAATTTTTGCCCACTATGGAAGTCAGTCCTGAAGAAAGAGCCATCTCATGTGTTGTTATTGGTACCTACCATACCCACTAGCGGACTGCCTATATAGTCTGAATCCCCCGTAGAATCGATCCATCACTCTTGTACTCCAACAAGTCCACCTACAAAGCCAATCGACTTCAAACCATCTCCTCATCTCTGCCTATCCTCAGAGCCGACATAGATCACCAAAAGATCATTCTCGTTATCCAAACAGCACCCCAGATCCGACATGAAGCTCATCACCGTTTTCATGGCGGCGCTTGGCTCCACAGTCCTTGCCAACAAAGATCCTGTCGACAAGGCGCCCTTTTGGCATAGTTGCAACCAGTGCCAATACGAGTGGGAGGATTGCATGCTCGTAAGCCCCCCTCACACATACTCAATCACTGTCTCTATTAGCTCACTAACTATTATCAAGCGACATAACCCTACTCGTTCGCCATTCCTCATGCCAATTTGGGATGCCGCTTGTGCGGAAGAGCTCTGCAACAACGACGACGACCATCTAGGCTGGTGGTGCTGGCACAATTGCTATTTCCATCAGGGTTCCTGTTTTGCGTATGGCCGAATGACTGATAAAGGGGGAAAATATGAGGATAAGGGATTCTCTCGTGGCGAATGAAAGCTAGACTTCTCACGCTGTAGGTGCATAGGTAGATGTTATAGAAGAGTGCCAATCACAAATAGCTGACCAAATATATCTACCAAAGAGACGGCCTTGAGTACAGTGACCGCAAACAACACAAATGAAACCCAATCTCTAGGCAACCACCGGTCACTTACCGCTCACTCACCTTGCTGTGCTTTTCTCAATGAAGCCTCGTCGATAACGCTGCGAGCCCGCTTGTTTGCCTAGCGCGTCGCTGCTCTCTCTCACTCATCCACCAAGTATATATTTCTGCGATCTTGCCTTCCATTTCTCTCCTCCAACTCCACCATCAACTCGATATTCAGGACACAGTCTACACTTTATCACAACCAATTCAACATCAACCAAAACAACAAGCTTGCCAACATGAAGCTCACTGTCCTCGTTCTAGCAGCCGTCGCCACTGTCGCCTTTGCCGGTGGTGGTAGTAAAAAGAACGACGACGCTCTCTGCGCCGCGTGCAGGGACGTGTACATGCCTTGCAAGCATGTAAGTAAACGCTTTCACATGAAAGCACTAGTGCACATTCTACACAGAAAGCTAATTGTATAATAGAAATGCGATACATCTGATCGTACCGTGCTTTGCGAAACCTATTGCGAACTTGAGGTGTGCGATCTCAAGCCTAAGGGTTTTGATAAGCCGTGCCACCCAACCTGCATCTATCCCAAATGCAAGAACAGGCCGTAAGTTCTTCTGGACAACCATGACGCACTCGCTGACTCAAAGGTTAGCGGCCATGACGAGAACTAGAGTACTCGGCGATCAACATTCACCTCCGAACGATAACGAGTGGTGCGCACGGAACTGGCCAACACTGAGGGTGCAATGAAGAACGATGGATGTTGAATATGGTCTGCAATTGCGGGTATGGGAACAGGCAGGAACAAGGACTGGACTAAGGAACACGATACTTGGTCGTCTGTAACGGTAGATTTGATGATTTACCACTCATGACTTTCTAATGACTGAGCTCTTGACTTTGAAAGTAATTGAGTCAACTACTGGAGAAAGATGCCTCTTGCTGATTTGACAAGGCCACTTTGGTTTCTGCTTACTGCGAGCTTCAACTCACTCAGCTTACAATCCAGCCAGTAACTCACTAATCCTTTTGCATTTATCGTCAGAATGTCCTATAGTATCCAGTTTTTGACATTGGTGGACGAAGCTTGCGCGCTACTATCACGTTTCCCTTACCGCGAAAGTGTACCGCTGAGCCTTCACTGCGTACATAGCATTCATCGATTATGAGTGCTTGTGAAATCCACATCATATATACCACTTGCTACACTGTCGGCGCTTGCAGATCCAGCCACTGATACCGCGGTAATTAGGGATCAGGGTTGAGTACGTAGAGTTGCTACGACGACCAAGGCGGACTCAAGAGCGGCCACATATCCTCTTTCTCCTCTGTGTTACCGCTCAATTTCCCTGCCTGGAATGCAATTATTGAATCAGTGATCAGCTTGTCTCGAGCAATCCTCACAGCTATCCTTGCTCGATACTGTTTGAACCATTTGAGTCAGCCGCGCTTCGACAGCTAGCAACCGTTTCACTATCTACGTTCAGATCTCGTGCCAACAAGGCAACTTCCAGTGATTGCGAACTCCAGATCTCCCCCTCTTCCAGTGTTTGCAGGCCGACGCACAGATCACTACCTTTCCACTGTTGTGTAACAATTCTTTCACCTGCTCGATGCCTAATGGCAGCCTCACCTCTTCTACCATACATCTACCACTACTTTATCCACTCTCTTTTTCCTTCTAATCCACGCCAGTCTATCTCTTCAATTCCGTCGAACAGCCACCATATCCTACATAACCAAATTACTTCATCAAATTCAACACCATGAAATTCGCAACCACCATCCTCACTCTCGCCCTCGCTGCCCTCACCATGGCCACTCCCCTCGCCAACCCCAGCCCGGTTGCCGATCCCGTCGCTGCACCCCAAATCACCCCTCCACCAGTCGACAAGCCCAACTGCCGAGACTGCGACAACAACTATACCAAGTGCCGTCTTGTAAGCACATCCTTTCCATTTTCCCCTCCTTGCTCCACTTTGTACTTCTTACTAATAGAAACTTGCCAAATAGTCCAAGTCATGCTGGTTCAACCCTCAGGCTTGTGACCAGACTTGCCGTGCGGATACCTGCCGCCTGTTTGACGGATTCTGCAAGGCCAACTGCGGCTACACAAATTGCTAGACGGCTGGTCAAACTGCCGGTACCGCGTGACTATAAGCTGCTAAAGGTCGGAGATTCAAGAGCTGGTACGATTGCCATCTAGGAAAGATAATGTACTTGACAACAGTCTTTAGTGGCGGTTTGTGGTCAGAGGTAGACGGTGGTGATTCTGTCCTCGGGGAATTAAACATGGGATTGGCGTTCATGGAGGACTTAAATGGATACGAAATAGGTATTGGCGTTTCCTGACAGGTCCTCGCTACGGCAGGTAGACCTGTATCGAGGCATTAGACCAATTCTCACAAACAAACCGGAGATATCCAACGATGCTTCCGTCCACGAAACTGCCATGTGCTGCTTCCTTTTCCACCATGCGTCATGACATGACCATTCTTGTCATAACTGTATCGTGTTCAATAATTCAAGCTCCCCGCCTTCCAGACCCCGACCCACCATATCGACGTCTCGCTCATGGCAACACAACGACTTAACAATGAACCTCAGCAAGGCGCCTTTCCCACGCTGATCACCCTAAATTAGCCACCATTAGCCTCCAAGGAACAAGACCGAATACGAAGATTGACCTGCAGTGCCAAGAAAAAATGGGCTCTTCGCGGCCCGCAGATGATCATCCGCTAAGCCAGATTACCGCATGGGTGAGGTCTCCGTCCGCCTTGGTCCATCTTGAAAGTTGTATGCGCAGTCTTGGCTGCTAATATGTACTGGTACTTTGCCGGTGTGGTTGCGCCCATTTTGCTTGGACAATGCTTCATCCAAGACTACCAAGGTAACCTAGTTATACGCCTATAATTGTGACGGTGTGCTAGGTCTGGCGGTGATGTCGATAGCGATGTCTGTAGATCAGTATTTCAATTAGTATTTAAGCTGCTCATGTCTTGAGTAAATGTTCCCAGTATTCTGTTTGACTCTACTATCACCATCATGAAGCTCACTTTTGTTACCCTCTCCGCTGTTGTGGCGTCCACCACCACCGCATCTCCTCTGTTCCTCGAACCCCGCCAACAATGCAGTACATCGTGGAGCTACCCCTACACTGGTCGCGCACTTCCTGGCAACTACAAAGCGTTCAATTTGGCTAGCTGCACCGCACAACTCAGCTTCAACAAAGACCAATACGTCGGCGTACAATGGGCCTTTGAAGCCACCTACGCCGACGGCAGCCGTGCAGAACTCAAGCCCTTCCGCGACTTCAACAGCTTCGGCGTCAGCGACACCTTCTACCCTTACCTAGGAAACAACTTCCTCACCCGGTACCCAGGGAACTCGGCGTTCACGGCCGTGCATGAGTTTAGCAGTGTGTGCAAGAACGGACAGGCGCCGGTCTCATGGCGATTCTACACAACATCAGGGACAGCGAATGGCTGCTACACAACGGGTCAGATCCGTGCTGTTGGTGGGGTCCCGCGTCCGGCCAAGGTCACAGGCGTTTCTTTGCGGAGGAGCAACGATGCTGGGGATTTCGAGGTTACCTGGTCGCCAGTGTCCAGAACAGTTGCGTATTCAGTGATTGTGCAGTACCCAACTGGTACAGATGAAGTTGGGAATCCATATACGAATGTGAGGGGTGCACGTGTGCAGGTAGGTTATTGTTGATCAACGTCAGTGAGCGCCTGCTAACGGCCATTATAGGGAAGTTCGACGAACGTCGCGACGACTACGCGCAGGCAGGATGTACAGAGAAAGGCAATTGTGCACGCTGTGGACTCGCAGGGTGTGTGGTCATTTACGAGCGATGTTCAAGCAGTTGCTGCTAGCTGGTAGACGTCATGTAGGATGTGAGATGGATGCGGAAGAAATTGCCCGATCGGTCGAGCGGATCCCTGCTTGGGAAGAGTGAATATCCACACGCTTGATAGCGCGCATAGTTTTTTTCTCCCTCGAGCGCAAAGACAGTGCAAGCTGTGGTGCAAGATATCAGTAAAGGAGCTAAAGTACGGTGAAGAGGAACAAATGTGTCTTGACACGTGAAACACGTCGTCGCACTGCCACATGGCAAGCGCGCAGCTCGCCCCGGAACAGCCGAGGCCCAAGCGCCAGGGTCGCGCGACAACGAATGCCATCTCCACACGGCTCCGCATTGTCATCGCATCATGCACGCCGGCTGCCCTCGATTGCCTCGCTGTATATTACCTCTGCTTGTGCTTTTGCCTGGCTGAATACTTTGTGCCTGTTGTCGAGGCACTCTCACGCGCTACCTTGATCAATGCGCCGCTCCCCTCTTATGGGGGCGCGACATCCACGCTCATAATGGCAGACTCGGTTGGTACGTCCAAGGATACATGCGCCGCCAAAGGGATCCTGCTGATGTCGACTATCTAGATCGAGTTTTCAGCCATGCGCTCAACACAGTGAACAAGATACGGACGGGGTCGCAGAAACCGCCGTCTGCGACCAGGTTACGCCTGTATGGATTGTACAAGCAAGCCATGGGTACGTTGGATACGGGAAATCATGTTGACATGACGGTGCTGACGCAGCACAGAGGGCGACGTCGACGGCATCATGGAGTGTCCGCGAGGGAGCGACGAGCAGTCGCAACGAGCGCGGGAGAAATGGTACGCCACGCACCCGTCACATACAGAGCAGACAGGTGAATAACAGCCACAGGGACGCTTGGAAACAGCAAAACGGCCTCTCCCGCACTGAAGCCAAACGCCGCTACATCACCACCCTCATCGACACCATGCACAAATACGCCTCGCCCTCGCCCGACTCCCGGGAACTAGTTGCCGAGCTTGAGTTTGTCTGGGACCAAGTCAAGTCAAACGTACCTTCCTCGTCGTCCTCGTCGCCCCTGCGCACCGCCGACCACACAACCCCCGGATACACTTCACAGCACGAGCTAGGCCAAAGCGGACGGGCAGCCATGAACACCAGCGCCGACATGGACCAAGACACGCCCGGCCAGATGCGAGGGCAGGAACAGCGGGACATACCCCTGCGCGTCAAATCGCCCATGTCGCAATCCGAAGAAGAGCTCGAGGAAGAAGAAGCGGAAATTGACCGCGGCGAAGTCTTCGTCGATGCCCCAGACAGCCAATACAACCCTACATCCTACCCGGATGATGACCAGCCCGAACTAGAAGACGCAGGTGTCCAGACGGATCTCCAGCAATTGATACGAGCGGAACCTATACCCATACAAACACCCACGCCCGCCCCGCGAAATAGAGGCATGGGCGTGCTGGGGAAACCAATACAGATGAACATACCGGGTCTCGGCGGAACACCAGCCGCAGGGAACGCCGCCGCAGCAGCAGCAGCATCAAAAGAATCTCCCAAGGAATCCGCCGCAGACCAGAAGTGGAGAAAGCGTGTGGAGCAGTCGTTGATGAAAATGACGGCCGAAGTCGCAGCACTACGTGAACAGCTTGAGGCGAGGAGGTTGTTCGCACATTCGGCGCATTATCGCTTGTTTAGAGGGATATGGAGGTGGGTGTGGGCTTGCCTCAAGCACGTGGCTGTTGATGTGTTTATATTGGGTATTGTGCTGCTCTGGATGCGGAGGAAGAAGGATAGGAGGTTGGAAGGCGCGATAAGGGTTCTGCTGGGAGATGCGGTGGCGCAGATGCAAAGGGGTGGGGGAGCGGTGTTTGGCAGGGTTAGGATACCGCTGCTACGAGGGGGCGGCAGGAAGCCAGTCACGGCGTCGTGAATTAAAGGGGTACGATGGTACCGCGAGCCATACCTTACGATATACGTCAGTCTAATGCTAACATGTACATAATAGCGACATGGCGCTTCAAAGTCTTTCTCTCTCTCTCTCTTCTCTTGCGCACCGAACCCCTCAGTCCATGTTCCCTACGTCTATCATCCTTAGCACCTTCTCTTTTCGACCTTCCCATTCCCCAAGCTTCTCTGGGAAACATTGCCTAACCAACACTTCCCCATATCCTTCCAACCTGGTTTCCACCTCCCTCAATGCCCCGACAACACCACTCTTCCCTACAATCACGTCCACAGACTCCAACTTCATACCTCCTACCGTTGGCTCCCTCGGTAAAACAGCAATAGCCACGTTACTAATGGTACCGCAAAACATGATGGCTAGCATGCCTACCGCTGCGGCATCCGAGAGTTGCGTGCAAAGAAGTGCTTGACTGAGGAAACCACCTGATATGAGGATGAATATTGGGATCGATACGGCGTGCATCTGATGGTCGTATGGCACTCGCAGCGCGGCTGTGTCTTGGACATTGGATATATCAGGCTTTGCAGGTTGAATGATGAAGATATGATGTGGCGGTGTCTCTTTGTCGCGCATCAACGCGTATGCGCCACCTTGGCGACTACCTGCGTGCGAAGAGGGTTTCTGTGCAGACCAGATAGGGAGGCTTGCGGTCGCTTCTACCAGTAAAATCGACGTGCTGAGAAGCAGGGGGACAGAGAGGTCACGGTAACAGTACCAGAACAAGCCTGCGAGGCAGAATTGAAAGACAGCAGTAGCCATACTGTGGTTTTTCCTCAGCGTCCACGAGGATCGGTGTGTTGATGGCTGACTGACAGACTCGAGGATCTCGACGATGGTATCCTTGTCGCCCGTCTCGCGCATACAACTCGACTCCAGGTCCCTCAGCAATCTTCCGGGTCTCAATCTGCTGTTCCTCTCCAAGCTCCCCTTCTTCACATCCATACTTATAACCTTGACATCTTCTTCTTCTTCTTCCTCTCTAGGCAACAAACTCTTACTACCACGCATCACCGGCACCAATAACCCCACGGTAAAAGCTAACCACCCAAACCCAAAACATGGGGACTCGTCCGGGATAGATGCAGTCGTCGCGGCGAAGGCTTCCTGTATGATATCGGGAGCGAGGAGCATGAGAATAGCAACGAGTGGGCAGATACGTCCTGAGTCGTTGGAGCGGTGGCGAAACCCTGGGCCGGAAGGACAGAGGTAATAGTTTGTTAGGTAGAGCGAGATGTACGCGGCCATGAGGGGGATTGTGGTGCTGAATTGGGTGCGAAAGGTGCTACTTTTGAGAATAGGTGTGTTGGTGTGAGAGGAGGGCGCAGAGTACTTGCTGTCGGTCATGGTGGCGCCTTTTTCGATGTCGAGTTGTGGCATTATTGTATCGGGCAGTTCAGGGAGCTTCATTTCTAGCTTGTTGTAGAGAGTAGAAACCCAGTGTTATCGGTGCGATCACTTCTGTTGCCGACAGTGCTAGTCGTCACCTGTCGTTTGAATTCACAAGCTCACTCGCGTATGTGTGAATTGTAAGTTTGCTAATTTTTCAGTTTGTTGCATTGCACCTTCACAAAGCATTGTAGCTTCGATAGTGAAGGACGTCGCTCAAAAGGAAGGTGCGATGCTGTAAGTGAAAGGAATGTCACGTCCGTGCATATATGAGTGTGCGATTGGACCACTTCGTCGTAACGTAACGGACGTCACCTCGCTGGATGCGGAAGATGTTCTCGTCGCACTATCACACGCCTGTACTCACAGGATGACCCTTCGCCGCAGCCCTGCGTACCGATTTCACTGCCTCCTAGCCGTGCACCTTCAACCTCGACCTACAGAGTACCCCTCTGACTCACTTGATCCATCTCCCCATCCGAACTTCGCAATACCGCCGTTCCAACAAGACCATAGATCGACCCCGCCATCCACATCATCATATCGATCAATGAACTTGAGCGACCGTATCGGATCATGTGTCGTCATCTTGCCATGCTTGGTGGCATGATCAGTCTTGATCTCCTTGACTGTCTTGCCCGTACAAATATTGCTAATTCGAATCGCAGTGCCCGTCGATTTATCTTGAGCAGCCGCTAGAAGACCCAGTCTGGGATGTACGTCGATATCCAGATCCAGCTCGTCCCGGTTCGCATGTTCAAAGGTCAAAACAGGCTGCGACCAATTCTTAAAAGCCTTGTGGTTGAGTTTACGACGCTTGTGTCCATCGCGGTGGGTAGGATACAAAGATCTGAAGTATTCCTCGTTGTAGTGATGGTTTTCGTAGTTGAATGTCTTTCGTGATGCATTACGTGATAAGCGGGGTGCGCGGATGTCGTATAGGAAAAGCGTGTCTTGGAGCCCCGAGCAAATCAGTCTGGTCTCATCGTCGGCACGCTTGAGCTTTGAAACGGGGGATGGATGAGTGAGAACATGACTTGAACCACCTGATCTTGTGTCATATAGTCGGATATTTCCGTTACGGCAACCGAGAGCGACGGTGGTGTACGATATCCATTCCAATGCTAGCACGTCTGAGTCGAGTGGTTTCACGGCAGTTTGCGAGTCCCATGCTCCTGCTTGTGAGCGGGCGAAGAGGAGCATTGAACTCGAAGCTGCGACTGCAAGATGCTCGGACCAGGTCGCTGCGACGGTGTTTGCGACACCTGGTGAAGGCGTGAAGGTTGACGGTCTGGCTGCAGCACCCCATATCGCCGAACAGTCCTTTGGTGTAAACTTCTGACCCACGTACTGTAACCATGAAGTCAGCATGGGAACCAAACTACGGCTTTTGACAAGCTATATGCAAAACCAAAACCTACCCTGAATGGTACCTTACTGAAGAGGCCAGACTTCTATAGGCTTGAAACCCCAGAGAAACCCTCCAGTGTAGGCTTTAGTATTACGTGTAGACGGGTAAGTGACTTACTGGATCATCGAGCCCTGGATCGCTGAGCCACAATTCTGGAGGTCGATCTGAGCCATATGTAGTTACTGCAAGGGCTCCAGTCTGCGGAAGGAAGGATAATGAAGAGACTGTAGATGTTGTTCTTGTTACCTCTGCCCAAGCATCGTGCGTGTAGGTTGCTTTTGGCGACGGCGTACGGAGATTTCCCCGAACATGATGGAAGTCAGCTTGCTGCATGCACACGCTGTTCGATTTCTGAACTGCATATATTGTGTGTTCGTTCGGATTCCTATCAAAGAATCGGATATTGTAAGGATGACGGCTACCCAGCACCTCTTGTGCATCACTCTCGATGCCAGCGGCGCATGCATCAGGCCAAAAGCCATGGAGATAGCGCGAAGTTCGCCTAAGACCTACTTCTCTATCCAGATTGGTCTGCGCGAAAGTGTTCGGATTGCGCCTGACAACGCGCTCCTTCCGGATCTTATTCGAGCGCGCAATGGCAACATTCTGGATGCGTTCTTTGCGCTCAGTTTTCCTGATATTTTCCGAGGAGTATTTGAGATTCGAGCCTTGTGCTGCAGTCTGATTCTGGATCCTGAAGTATTTCTTCTTCTCAGCGTCCCAGAAATAGCCTGGTATTGCTTGGCCGTTCATATTGGAGGTGCAAGGTGAAAAGGTAGAAATGTCGACGCGTCTGAGTTAGCGTAGAAGACGCCAGAGCGAGTCAGGTACCATGATTCCGCGGTTGGCTATCGATAAGCAACTTCTCCGAGGCATGACGCCACCGCCGCTCATGGCATTCGCATCACTATGATCTGCACCCTTCTGCGCTCATAATTGCCGCCATCTCCCCCTCATTGTCCCCCTCCTCTTCTACATCATACTACAACCGTCAGCAGCTCATGCTTCGAATTTCACCTGCGCTGCAGCCCACTCGCAAAGCATTATCATCGACGAGATACATTTGCAAGAACCCATTCCACACTTTTATGCGCCTCAACCAAGTCATGGCGCACCTCGACAACTCGCAGACGGCGAACAACTCGTCCAACAAGCTACAGACGCTACAGTCACTTCCCAAGTCGAACGTCTTCACGTCAAACCTCCCCGCCGACGACGCGTTTCCCAGGCCGAAAGACTCGCACCATGCGCCACGGCAGATGCTTGGACCGCGCATGGTCAAGGGAGCGCTGTACACATATGTTCGACCCGATTCACAAGGCGAGCCCGAGTTACTAGCCGTCAGCCAACGGGCGCTACAAGACATTGGTCTAAAGCCAGAGGAGGCCGAGACTGACGAGTTCAAGGAAGTCGTTGCTGGCAAGAAGATTCTGACATGGAACGAATCGAATCCAGAGGCAGGCATATACCCTTGGGCACAATGCTACGGAGGCTACCAGTTTGGGCAATGGGCAGGCCAACTCGGTGATGGTCGTGCCATCTCCCTATTTGAGTCTACAAACCCAGCAACAGGCACACGCTACGAGATCCAACTGAAGGGTGCTGGACGAACACCATACTCGCGCTTCGCCGATGGCCGAGCAGTTCTTCGCTCTTCCATCCGTGAATTTGTCGTGTCAGAATACCTCAATGCCATCAACATCCCAAGTACGCGAGCGCTGGCGCTCACCTTGAATAACGGGAGCAAAGTGATGCGCGAACGAACCGAGCCAGGTGCCATCGTCACCCGCTTCGCACAAAGCTGGATCCGCTTCGGCACATTTGACCTCCAGCGCATTCGCGGCGACCGAAAAACCCTCCGCATACTCGCAGACTACACAGCGGAGCACGTCTACGGCGGCTGGGACAAACTCCCGTCCAAGCTTCCCGCCGGCGACGCAAAGGACGTCCACAACCAGACATCCTCAGGCATATCAAGAGACACCGTCGAGGGCGAAGGCGCGGGAGAGGAGAACCGCTACGTCCGTCTTTACCGCGCAATCATCCGCCGCAACGCCGAGACAGTCGCAAAATGGCAAGCCTACGGCTTCATGAACGGTGTGCTAAACACAGATAATACTTCCATCCTCGGGCTAAGCATCGATTTCGGCCCCTTTGCCTTTTTGGATACCTTCGATCCGACGTACACACCCAACCACGACGATCACATGCTGAGGTACAGTTACCGCAACCAACCCACAATCATCTGGTGGAACCTTGTCCGTCTTGGCGAGGCATTGGGCGAGCTCATGGGCGCGGGTAGCAAAGTCGACGAGGCGCAGTTTGTGGAAAAGGGTGTTACGGAAGAAGAAGCAGATGGCATCGTCAAGTGTGCGGAGAGTGCTATCGATCGCGCAGGCGAAGAGTACAAGGCCGTTTTCCTGGCCGAGTACAGACGGCTCATGACACTCCGCCTTGGACTCAAGACACAAAAGGACAGCGACTTTGAGGAACTGATGTCTGAGCTGCTGGACTCGCTCGAGATGTTTGAGTTGGACTTTCATCATGCCTTCCGGAGGTTGGGTGCTATTAAGTTGTCAGACGTTGAGACCGAAGATCAGAGGAAAGATGTTGCGGGACGGTTTTTCAAGAAAGACAGTGCACCGAGGCAGGAAAGCGATGGACGCGAGCGTCTCGGCAAGTGGCTGGAGAAATGGGCTGCGAGGGTCAAGGAAGATTGGGGTGAGGGTAAGGATGATGAGAGGAAGGCGGCTATGGATGCGGTCAATCCCAACGTAAGTGTTCACTCCACTCGTTCACACAGACATGCGATGCTAACACTAAACACAGTTCATCCCCCGTTCCTGGATCCTAGACGAACTCATCGAGCGTGTAGAGAAACAGGGCGAGCGCGAAATCCTGCCTCAGATTATGAAACTTGCCTTGAACCCGTTCCAAGAAACCTGGGAGTGGAATGTAGATGAGGAAGAGAGGTTCTGTGGCGACGTGCCGAAGCACAAGGGCATGATGCAGTGTAGCTGTAGTTCTTAGAAGATCCCTCACATACACCTGGTAAGATGATGTAGAGGGCATTGAAAAGTTCAAGTTCTAATCTACACCACCAACGAGATATTCGCCTACTTCCAAGTTGACGCTTCTACCTAGCGCGCGTGCATACTCCCATCCAAAGTTCACGCGCCATCTACCCCCTCCTTCTAGTGCATCGTTGCTTCCTGCTCCTGCTCTGACCAGTAGTCTCATACTGGTTAATGTCGCAATCTGTGTGTATAAATCCGCCACCTGTGGTACTGTTCCGTCAAGCAATGCTCGGAAGATTGCAAGCAGCCTGTCCAACGTGAATGGACTAGGCGTCAACAAATGTCGACTAATCTTTCGATGCTTGGCTCCTGTCCGCTTCCCTGTAACGCTGAAAGAAGCAGCGCTCGGTGCGCGTCGCTTGTTCTTCCGCTTATCGGTATGCTTCATAAAGTATGTAACGTCGGTGCGCGAGGGATTGTAGGAGGCTAGGTACGCAGCGATGAGGATGTGTGTCGTAAAGTATGGAAGGCTGTGGGCCGTCATGTTTGCTAGCTTCTTCTTGCTGGGCGTCGCTGGTAAGACGCCTGCAGCTGCCGCGTCCTTTGTGGGTTCGGCGGTATCCGCAATGATTCGATCTATCACTGAGTCTTCGAGCTGGAAGAGATGCCGTCTGTTTACCATCAAGCGCGAGAAATCCCTCGTACCGAATTGCCCCGACACCACTGGCTCAACGAACGGACGCCAAAGTCGCATTGCGCAGCTCTTGAAGCTGATGAGGTCTCGCCCGGTGTGCTTTGCAAGGGAGTCGTAGACTGCTTGTAGGAAACGACCCCATAGCCAGGCGTCATCTTCGGCGGCAAGATCGGGTGTGTAGTCCGGGAATTGTTCTAGCGAGGGAGGCTCCAGGAAGATTTTGGGCGAGTTGGCGCCGAGGATTGTGAGGAGTTCGTTGCGTGCGTAGGTTGGGAAGTGTAAAAAGGTTGCCGATGACGAGTGGAGTACAGAGGGGGTGAGCGGCAGGGTTGTTGTGAGTATAAGGGAAAGGTTTGGTATCTGGTCATGAAGTCAGTGTCATGCGTTCCATCTCAGACGAGTTGAGCCATACCATCTCTCCCAGTCTTGCTAGCGCAGCAATCAATGTCCCACCCCCTTCTCTTAACTTGTCCACCGCGTCTAGCACCAGCACGAACTTGTTCCTACCCTCCAACAGCTTTTCCATGTTGACACATAGCGCGCTTAGGTTCTCCGTACGCGCGTAAGGTCGTCTATCGATCTTCTCGTCGTTGAACACATCGAGCGCATCCAGACTGGCTACGACAATGCGCTCCAGGAGATGCCGTGCGGTTATGCACTCGCGAACATTGATGATCGTGTGTTGTATGCGAGAAAGATGGAATAAGGAGCGCAATACCGACGATTTGCCAGTTGCAGTAAGACCGTGGATGTTCAGAAAGGGTGGTGATGGAAGATGCGCCTAGGTTGCTGTTAGGAGTATGTTCATGAAGCCTAGAGAGGTTACATACGCTATAGAGGGCAGCCAGATGCCGTATTTGTTGGTCGCGACATGTGAATTCAGCCGTCAATTGCGCGACGATCTCATCCGGAAACATTGTCGCAGTATTGTTTTGCATGTTTGCAAACACCATTCGTCTTTGGAGGGTTGAGGAAGTCGCGCTAGCTTGGCGCCGAACGCGGGTGCACGTGCACGGCGGTCTATGTCCATGACTTCCATCCTTAGATCTCTGCTTGTTGAAAACTCACCAACACTTAACGTCACACCGCATCGATGTAGCTGAATGAAAATTCATCTTCACATGTTTTCTTTCCAGGAGATGATACAGGCTGTAAAGTAGAGCTTGTTATTTCTGTAGCTGTCTAGGTCTTTTCCTTGTATGAGATGAGTGCGCTCGCTGCCTGCAGCTGCAGCGCAGCACAGCCTCGTCACCTTTGCCTGATTGGAGTCCTGTCAACCCCCGCATCCCATGCCATTTCACTCTGAACATCACACTAATCTTTCAATACACACATGGAGACGACCGCCAGCATCATAGCAGTGGCCCAGCTGTGCGAAAAAGTCATCAAATACATCATCGCTGTGTCGGGTGCCAAGGACGAGAAAGCACGCCTTCGGTCGAAGATCCGAGGCTGCAGTAGCCTGTTACTGCAGCTGCAAGATGAAGCAGCGGACTCCGAAGAAGTCGAAGAATGGACTCAAACCCTGGAACTACTCTCTGCTCCTCTAGTGCGTCTTCACGAAGCATTGAGTCTGACAGCTGTTGCTTTATCCTCTCGAGATGGGGTTCGCGAGAGGCTGCAATGGCCGTTCAAAGAAAAGGATGTGAGAACGCTGGTGGAGGCAATTGACAGTGAGATGGGAATGCTTTCCCTAGCTCTTGATGGAAATACAACACGACTACTTATTGAAACCAACGCTCGCTCTAAGCGCAACGAACAGGATCTGAGGGAGTTGAAGGACTTCTTAAAACTGGATAGGGGAACAACTATTTCGACTTTAAAGAGTCTTAGTGGGGGCCTGCAGAACATCCAGATCACTCAGAATGGCGTTCAGGAAGGGCTCGACAAGCTACATGAGCGTCATGATACGAAAGAAGCTACGGAAAAGCGTCAGAGAATTTTGGATTGGTTGACACCTATTGACCATGCTTCACAACAGCGAGATGCTATCAGTCGGCGACAAGCTGGCACTGGCGGATGGCTCCTGCACTCACAAGTCTACCAAGACTGGCTCGGCACCAGCAATCGTACCCTGTTCTGCCCTGGCATTCCAGGCGCAGAAAAGACAGTGTCGGCCTCCATCATCAACGCCGATTTGTGGGAGCGATATGGTAGCGATAACACAATCGGCTTGGCTCATCTGTTCTGCAACTACAGACGCCAGGACGAGCAGACGTTAGATGCCCTACTGTCGGGTCTCTTGCGACAACTCGTGGAACCACGAGCGTCGCTGCCAAAATATATTGAAGAACTTTACGACAGTCAAAAGGGATCTTCGGACCGGATAGAGGCTATGGCCAAAACTCTACAACTGGTGGCATCGATTTACTCCAGGGTCTTCATCGTTATAGATGCTCTCGACGAATGCTCTGCGTCACATGGTTGTCGCATAGCGTTACTGTCGAGAATCCAAGAACTTCAAAACACGTGTGGTATCAACCTACTAGTCACATCACGCTTCATACCTGAGATCGTTGAGAAGTTCAAGGCAGCATCCATAATAGAGATTCAAGCAGATAGGGATGATGTGCGGAGATACCTCTCCGAGAACATGTCACGCCTGCCAGGCTTCGTGCGCAATAAAGCGGAATTGCAAGAGGAAATCATCTCTAGAATTGTGGAGGCGGTTCGTGGAATGTAAGTCTTCTTGCTTCCGATCTCCGTACCCTATTGATAAAGTCCTAGGTTTCTCTTGGCCAAGCTACATCTTGATTCTCTACTCGGCAAGAGATCACCGAAGGCAGTTCGTGTTGCCTTGGACAAGCTTCCTACTGGTACTGATGCTTATGATTCTGCGTATGATTCTGCAATGGAAAGGATTGAAGGCCAAATGGCCGAACAGACGGAGCTAGCAAAGCAAGCTCTCGCTTTCCTCACTTGCGCCAGAGAGCCACTCTCGACCCTGGAACTTCAAGAGGCGATGGGCGTTGAGGTCGGTGAGCTTGAACTGGACCCTGACAATTACCCGGATATTGAAGATATTTTAGCATCATGCCTAGGCCTAGTTACGATAGATGATGATGGCGACATCATTCGACTTGTTCACTACACGACGCAAGAGTACCTCGAGCGTACACTAGACCGGTGGTTTCCGGGCGCAGAAGCCATGATAGCAGACGTTTGCATATCATACCTGTGTCTGAACCGTTACACTTACCCGGCGCAGTTGGATTCTACAGAGGATAGTGCTTGGTACGCCTACGCTGCGAGAAACTGGGGTCATCATGCTCGCCGAGCTCCATCAAGTTTGGAGCGAGTGGTCGACTTCCTTACACAAGAAATCGCTCTTGAGTACAGTTCTTTTTATGCGGACCATTATTGGCGACCTGTTGACTCCGTATTTAAGAGTTTTAGCGAGAACAACGAGCCATGGACCACTGGACTTCACTTGGCAGCTGAATTTAATCTCAAGAACGCTATTGTCGCACTGCTCCAGCGAGGATTCGATCCAGGCCGAAGAGATCTATATGGCCGAACACCCCTTCTTGTTGCCGCAGAGACGGGAAGCAAAGCTGCTGTTGAGCAGTTGCTTAAACACGGGTCTTCCATGGAAGAGCGTACTGACGAACGTCATCATCATTCCCCAGGGTGTACCGCTCTGCACATTGCCGCGAAAAATGGTCACGTCGCTATTGTCAGACTCCTTTTAGACAGAGGCGCAGTGATCAATCTACAAAGCTTATACCATGATACGCCCATCAGTAGCGCTGTGGAATTGGGGCAGGCCGAGGTTGTCCAGGTTTTACTCGACGCGGGCGCTGATAGGACCTTCCATAACACGGGAAGTCTGGATTCGACGACACTGATGAGTATTGCAGTCCTAAATGAGAATATTAAGATGGTCCAGTTTCTCATAGCGGCCGGCGTTGATGTCAACGAACGCGATGAGAGTTTACATGCGACAGCCTTGTGGGACGCGGCATGTCTCCAGTCAGTAGATTGTGTTCGAGTCCTACTTGAAGCCGGCGCTGATCCCAACCTCCCTGGTGGCACTTCGCAGGGTTCTCCTCTCATGATGGTGTGCTCTCATTATACAGAAAACTCTATCCCTGTAGTCAAGATGTTGCTTGATGCTGGGGCAAACGTCGACTATGTCGACTCAAATGGATCGACCGCATATGATCTTGCCAAACGGGCGCAGAATCTCCATGTCGCTGAGTATCTTCTGGAGCGTGGTGTCGATTCAGAGATAAGCTTGAATAACCGGCCTGACTCACTCCATAGTCAGTGAGATACGTTTGCGTCAGATAAAGACTGAACATGTTTTCCCTTTTCCACAGAAAGCTGGAAGATTCATGGGGAAAAGCGATACGTAAGGTTGTAACCAGGATGCTGAGTTTGAGAACTGCATTTGGCGTCGTCTAAAACGTTCTCCGTTCTTCCAGTACTACATATTCAAACTCTGTCTAAGCCTTACCAAGCCCTTTCCCTTCATCCTCACTCTCGTGCTCAACAGTCGCTTCAACATGCTCAGTCATCAAGTGCTTAATTCCCTTCATTGAAATCACAGCAACCGTCGCGAGCGCCACGAACGGCACCACACTCCAATAACCCAGTCTGTAAGCATGCGCGTAAGACCAATGGCTTGCATCCCAGGCAGCCTTGATGACAGTTTCATTCATGTCAGGCACACCTGCCCCTCTGAACTTGGTCACTGAGCTGCCTTTCATACCTTTCAAGAGTGCAGGTACTGATGACTCGGGTAAACCAGCTGCGATGGCGGCAGATCCAACATCCCTGGCGAGATGCGAAGCAATGCGAGAGTTGACGATGGCGTAGATGACGGCGGTACCGAAGGCGCCACCGATGGCTCGTGCGGAGAAGGCAAGACCGGTAGCTGTTGACAGGAAGGCGTGAGGTGCTGTGAATTGGATGCAAGCGACGAGGAGTGTGAGTGGGCCAGAGCACCCTATGCCTGTCAAGGCTGTGAAGATGATTTGTTCGGTACCCCAGCTAGGTCTGATGAAGGCGAAACATATGGATGCGATGAACATGATGGCGAATGTGACAGCCAGTGGCGTTTCTGTAAATGGTGTTAGTTGTTGTATTGGTGAAGAAGACAATTTTGCTTACTCAGATCTTTGAACTTTGTCGCATACCATGTCACACCCAACGAAGTGATGATTGACGCAATCTTGTAGGACAACTGGCGGATGGCGATATCCCACGAGTTATCCTCAAACCCAACGTTGAGGATGAGCTGTGGTGTAACGGCATTAATGGCAGAGTAGTAGATCCAACCTTCGATCGCGAAAGCAAACGTCGATAGCCAGAAGTTTGGCCCAGTAGAGAAGAAAACGTGCGCGACGATACCGTCAGATCGACCCTTCCACTCTGAGTTACGTTAGCCTTCAGCTCTGGATTGCTCCATGAGAGAGTCATTACCATAGAGACAGAATGCAATGAACAGAACGATACCAACAACGAGATTGGCACAAACGTGCGGATTGCTCCACGGATACGCTCCGCCTGCCCAGTTGAGCGCCAAAAGCATCAATGTAGCAGCAGCAACGAGTAGAAGAGAGCCGATAGGATCGCAAGCCCACATCCATTCTTTGAAGCTCATTCTAGGATAGTCGGTGCGTTTCTTAGGCCAGTAGAACGCGAATAGACCGATGGATGTGATGCCATGTAGTCCGACTTGAATCCAGAAGATGTAGCGCCAGCCAGAAGCGCTGAGATTGGTAACAGCGCCGGCTGCTAGACTTCCGACACTGCGAACATGTCAGTATCTTGCGCCTTACCGTGTTCTTATTTGCAAACTCAAGACTTACGTGCCGCCCAGAACTCCCGCGACTCCTGCCAATCCATTTGCTAGAGGTCGGTACTTCAATGGTAGAATCTCCGAAGGTATTGACTGAACGATGGAGATGGTCGCAAGCGTCGTTCCGATGAGAATGCCACCGCCAATCAACATGGACATACTTGTCGCTTTCGCGCAAATGATAGCACCGACACAAGCGATTAGTGGAGGTACAGTAGCGAACAGTTTGCGATCTAGGACATCTGACAAGCGACCGACGGGAGGAGAGAGGACCGATTGCATAAGGAGAGGACCCTAGACAACGTCAGAATTCAGACTACACACTCGAGCTATAGCGATCATACCTGTATGATCCAGCTCGCAATAGCAGGTTGCCCAAGCTCACGAATGATGAAAGACAAGACTGATCCCGCAGCCACTACTACAAAGACTTGCGACATGACGCTGCGTAGGATGTTAGTCAAGTCCATAGATCCTAGCTTTAGTGAACGTACGCGAAACAACAGCAAAAGACGACCATCCATGACCGCCAGGAGAGATTGACATGATGGATATCATCGTTGGCTTCCTGATCGATGGGGACGATGTGAGCTTCGCGGGCGTGAGTGGCCTCAATATGAGTAGCTCCCGTTTTACTGTCCATGACTGCTCACGCTAGATGACAAGTTGCTACGAGAAAAGAGGCGAGAGAGGGCAAGGTCTATATTCAATATGATCAGATATATACTACAGTGGGGCACCGCGCAGCGGATGCTTGGCCTGGGCATTTTGACATGGAGATGAGCGGTAGCGACGTCGTCCTCCAACGCCATACATATCGGCAGATCAGGATGCTGGGGGATGAGCGACTCTGGCGGCCTGTTTGGATGAAGTTTACCGAATGGGCGGGATGTATGCATGCGGGGCCCCAGGTTGGGTGATGATTGGCGCCCCTTCGCTGTAATGTGATGCGGGGAGGTGCGCCTACGACTCGGTTGTCGCCTGCATCACCCCGAGATGTGTTCCTTCTCTTCTTCTCATGACTCCATAGCTGGAGTTTCCATCGCGACATGTTGTCGTTACTCAAAGGCGCCAGGAGAGGAGTTGGTGAGGGTGGAAGAGGAAGGGAAGGTCGGAGTTAAGCAGGACCGCCCCGCTGGACCCTGAGACTTTTGTTGTGCACATCTTTTGCGCGACCGTCACCCTCCACCACTCCAACATCCCAACGCTCGACTCAATACCGAACCTCTTAGCCCATATCCGACGCATAGTAAACTTTTCCGACGCACTTAGACTAATCCACCCACCAGGCTATGCTATGAGCAGCCCACGTCCCCTCGCAGGGCGTCTTGTCCCCCTCAGAACCAAAGACGAGGTGCGCGCCAGCCTAGAGACTCACAGCGTCTATGTCGTCGAGGTGCCGGCCAAATTTGCCAATGTTATCAAGGAGTGAGGCATTCACTCCTGGTGCACCAGCTTGATCTCTGCTAACCTTGGACCTCGCCAGTGCCGTGCAAGCAGCCCTCCCAGACTTCAAGACGTCGGAAATCTCTCATCTGCGACGCGTAGTGCAGTTCAAGTACCTGCCGCCGCATCTGCAGAAACAGTTCTACCCGCCCGCGAGGTTCCCCAGAGGTGAAGAAGATGATCCTGCCTCTGCATTATTATCTTCCTCTGCTGCCCCAGCGCCCTCTGCTTCCCTTTCTGCGTCCTCGTCCTCGGCCGTTGATGGCAGTGAGGCTGCTCATGGTGTGACTGTTACTGAAGATTTTGATCTAGTTCGCTACTTCCTCTTGTGTCCGACGCGCCATATTGCCCACGCCAACCTCGCAGCTATCATACGTACCTGTCCGCCTTTCGACGGCAAGACTGCACCGCCTCGTATCTTCTACGTGACGGTCCCGTCGCTAGCACCCATATCTGCCGAGCAGGCTACGGAATGGAGCGACAAGTACTGGCCCATCTCGTACAAGAACACCAACCCCTACGGTCCGCATCCAAGTCTCGTACAGCGCAACCAGGAGGAGATACAACCCGAGGCGGGCAACTGGCTAGCCCTGGCACGAGCCGCTGGCGAGCAGATATCAGAGCAGTGCCTGGGTGAGAAGATTGGCGTCGTCGTGGTCGACCGCACAAGGAGCACACCAGAAATCGTCGCTGTCGCAGGCGACTGTCGCTGGAGATCCTTCACCGGCACCGCCGAACCGGCCACCGGCACTGGCAACGTCATGGCCCACGCCGTCCACCGCGCCATCGCCATGGTAGCGAAGAAGCGACTCCGCGTTGCTGGCACCGACCCCGCATACCTCGACCGCTCCCTCTTCTGCGACAATCCCCTCACCGGCCTTGAGAAGCTTTACTACGAGAAAGACAACATCTCATCGAGCGGCTACCTGTGCGTCGACCTCGACATCTACCTCACCAACGAGCCCTGCGTCATGTGCTCCATGGCCATTCTACACTCGCGCTTCCGCCGCTGCATCTTCAGCAAGCGCATGCCATACACTGGCGGCATGACGGCAGATGGCCCTGGTGACTCTTCGTCAGCGGGCAGCGGACTGAAGAATGGATTGTTCTGGCGACCGAGCGAACTCAACTGGAAATTCCTGGCTTGGGAGTTCAAGGAGGATGGCAAAGCTGCAGATGCGGATACCGGTTTCAAGGATACACTGCATGCATAAGCATGCGCACAGCGGTCTCAACTGTATTGGATACATTGTATAAACACGGCGCATTGGATTAAACGCTCGGTACAATTACAAGGGGAGATTATACCAGTATGGATTAGAGATAATATTGGGCCAAAAGGAGAGCATTCTGTACTATAGCCAATGGAACGCAACGTCAACATTCAACGTTGGTCGAATGAGTTGCGATACTTTTGTAGCGAACAAGTCTTTTCATTGACATCCCAGCTCGTATTGTGACCCTATCACTTCCTACCGTCTCCATCCATCTTCCCAACACTGCCCAATATCTCCATAAACCGACTTCTCCTCACATTCTTCTGATCACCTTTTCTCAAGCCAAACCCTTGCGTTCCTTGTAGCGCAAATAACGTGTACTGTTGCCCTAGCCAGTCTGTTCCGCACGATGGTGCAGGCTTTCGTTTAATCAGCGGGCGGAAATGTGGAAGGGAGGGAGAGGTGGCGGATATATGATAAGGTCGCTGGACTGGCGGTATTGGGGTGTGTGGACTTGGGGACCGAGGGATGATGGTTCGAGCCTCGGTATCGGGTAGCAACGGTACGCAAGACGCGGCGTTGTGGAGTCGTTCATTCTGCGAAGATGAATTGCGTGGACTCTGGATTGTAAACTCTGGTGTTGGCAAAGAGGCGAAAGTTAAGTTTGATGCTGCATTGTAAGTGTGCAGTGTAAAACCGGGGCGGAGAGATAAGGGGATGTCCTCTTCGGATGCAAAAGAGTGAGTTGCAGAGTCATCAGAGGTGGGTGGTGAAGGCAAGGCCTGAGTTGCTGCAGGAACAAAA